GCTGCCCACGCCTGTGACGAGCGCGCGTTCGAGACGGCTTTTTCGAACCTGTCACCTGCCTCACGAGCGCTGCTGCTATCACAGGCCGGGCCGCACTCTTCGCGGGCCCTCACGGTTCTGCCCACACATGAGGATGTCACGCGCCCTGGCGCCCTGTGTCGCAGGACAGGTAGCGCGTCGCACCAGGACGCCCAGTATGCAGCGTGGCGGTCAGTACGTGCACAACGTCAGCAGCGCGCCCTCAGGCAGTGGGGCATCGTTCTTGCCCAGGCTACACGCCGCAAACAGCGCCAAACTTATCCCGAGCTGGAGCGGGTGTGCTGCTGACGCTTGGTGGTGTTCGGGATGGAAGTAGGCGGCAGGTGGGCTCCCGAAGCCGCCACCTTCATCCGCTTGCTGGCGAGAGCGCGCGCAGCGGAGGTGTCTGCCTCTCCGGACTGCTGCCCGGGCAGCGTGGATCGTGAGATGGAGCGGCATTGGCATCCTCGCCGTCGCAGCGCAGCGAGCCTTCGCAGCATCCCTCCTCGAGCTGCCTCCAGGTGGGGAGTGTAGTGCTGGCGGGCCGGAGTCCGCCCTGCACGAGATCCTCGCCGACGCGCGCTGGCAGGCGACTCCCGCCCACAGCCGCCTCCCCATGCGTGCGGGCTGAGGCCGAGGCGATTCCCGCAGCTGTCTGAGGCCGAAGCGCCGTGCACAGGGACCCGCGTGGATGTTGCGGAAAAAGGCCCGCGGCAAAAAAAGGACACCTGTCCAATTTCGATGGTTCTGGCGGTCCCAGCGTGCCCTGCTCCTGTTGCAACCGTGATGATCTCGAGACTACTGAACATCTGTTTATGTCGTGCCCGCGAGCACTAGTCTGCTTGAGACCTTGCTCAGCGGTAGAGTAGTGGAGCCATCTGTGGCTGCTCCATCAGAGGGTGCCCAGGGCACAAAGCAAAGCCAGGCTGTTAGCAAATGATGTGGCGTTGCGCGTACGTTGGTCGCAGCTCCTGCCCCTAGCTTCAAGATTGGGTGAAACGTTTTTCCGCAGTCTACCTTGGTAGCCCAGTAACCATATCACAATACTAAGGGTACCCCTTGCTGGGTTTGGCTACTTTACAAGGTTCCCCTTGAACTAAAAACAGGGAAAAAGGACACCACTGGGCAACCAAGCTAGATGAGTTTGAAGGATGCCAGCCGGCAACCTCCAAACTGTTGGATCCGAGGATGCCAGATTAATTTCGCTTGGGGTGTTCCCCCGTATACTAAGCGTCCTGAATGGGGATTATGATTTTAATAGGGGGTACCAAAATCCCTATGAAAGGATGTTAGTGCAAGGGGGGACATCCGAAAATCACTCCGAAGATAAGCGCCTGGCTGTTGCTCCTGTTCTGCGCGGCGCCTCGGTGTAACTACCTGTTGCGCACGGTGCCGCCGAGCGCAACAGCGTCGTACGCGGCGTCGCACGACGAAGCGATACTGCGTTGCCTGGCGACCTTGCTGTCGGGGGGGGAAGTACCGCTGGACATCCCGCCTCAGAGGGAGCGGCGAGCCCACTTGCCGCTGCGCATGGGCGGCCTCGGCTTGTCGCCGGCCAGGGAGCACAGGCACGCGGCGTATTGGGCCTCCTGGGCAGACACCGTCACCGCGCTGCAGGAGTGCCACCCTGGCACGCTCGCCGCACTCATGCGGCCCCTGTTGGATGTCGCGGCAGCGGGTGTGCCCCCCAGCGTCATGGAGGCAGAGCACGCTGCACAGTGCCTACGCTCGCAGGGGTACAACGCGCCAACTTGGGCAGGGCACGGTCCCCCCCAACCTGGAAGACGATGCCGGGCCCTCCGCCCCAACGAGGCGAGGATGGCAGCAAAGTGCCGGAGCTGCTGTGGACAAGCGCGCGCTCGAGAAACTGTTTTCTGACTTGGATAGTGCATCCCGGGCGCTGCTGCTGTCCCAAAGCGGCGAAGGTGCCAGCTGCGCGATCAGCGCCATCCCGAGCTGCCCGGACTTCGTCGTCGACAGCGGGGAGTTCCGCACCTTCCTGCTTCGGCGGCTACGACTGGCGTTGCCGCTCGCCCCACGCCGATGCCGCTGCGGCGGAACCCTCGATGAGCTCGGGGACCACCGTTCCGCCTGCGCACAGGTTGGGGTGCTAGCGCATAGAGCGGGGCCACTGGAGCGGGCTGCTGCTCGCATCTGCCGTGAGGCCGGCGCCCGGGTGGCCACCAGCGTCGCTCTCCGGGACCTCAACCTCGACGTGCCGGCGACCGATGGTCGGCGGATCGAGGTGGTGGCCAACGGCCTGCCTTTGTGGCAGGGGGCGCAAATCGCGGTTGACACCACCTTGGGTTGCCCCGTCCGACGCGACGGGCAAGCGCGACCGGGCGCGGATGCGCGGCCGGGTCTCGCTCTGGAGCAGGCTGCCCAGCGCAAGATGCGCACGTACCCTGAGCTTCAGCCGGGCGGACGGGGCCGCTGCCGCCTCGTCGTGTTCGGCCTGGAGGTCGGAGGCCGCTTCAGCAGCGGGACGCTGGCTTTCATTCGCCGCCTCGCAAGGGTCCGCAGCCGCGTGCGGGCCCCCTGGGCGCAAAATGCTGCGGCGCGGGCACTGACACGGCGGTGGACGGCCCTTGCAGGGCTCGCTGCCATGCGGGCCCACGCGCAGTCCCTGCTGGAGCTGCCGGTCAGCACGCGGGACGCCGGTGATGGCGCAGAGATCCCCTTGGGGGATCTGCTCGCTGAGCGGCTGTGATGCGGGGGCGAAGGATGAGAACAAAAAAAATTGCAATTCCGGGCCGAGGTAGGCCACAGATCCTACGATTATCGCTATGCGAAGGCCCTTGCGCAGAGGCATACCAAAAGTCAGACGAAAGCCAAACACATGCACTGCTCTAGTGTCACCGAGGGTTCATGCCCAATGCCAATGCATGCACGGACAAAATTGAAACTACCACAAGGACAGGAAGGATGTCACTTCAATTTGATTCAATTCACATGGAAGACGACCGGCGAGCACAAAGCTTCCCTGGGTAGAAGCTGCTGGAAAACTCGCCAGATCCAAATGCCGCGGCACAAGCTGAAAGATCCTCTGAAAGGTGAGCATCAGTTAAGTCTTCGGATTCCTGCTGCTTGTGTTGATGCTTCTCAACTAGTCCTAAAAGCAAAACTGAGCACTGCCTTTTGCAGCCGTCTCTGGTCCTACAAGCAAAACTGAGCGTGGTACTTTGGCTGCCCTCCCCTTCCTTGATCGCTGGATTGAGATTACTTGCAGTTTTGCTGCCTGTTGGCTGGTCCAAAAAGCAAAACCGCTGAGTTTCGTTTGTCTCTGTGACCGGCCCCCAAAGCTGTTGCTAATGGACCGTCGTTTCTCTTTCGCTTTTTTTTGAGGCCTCGTAATCAACCCTATTTGCCAAATCCGTGCGCTGCGCCTTGGCCTTGATGCCTCCCATCCCATCCTAAGCAAATCCGTGCATTGTACCTTGGCAGCAGTTTTTTAGTATTTTTTTCACTTTGAGGGGGCGGGGGAGGTTGCTTCTCATCTCCTTGCTGAGGGTTGCCTTTCTCTCTCTCTTTCTCTTTTTTTTTTTCTCTCTCTCTCTCTCTCTCTCTCTCTTTCTCTCTCTCTCTCTCTCTCTTCTCTCTCTCGCTCTCTCTCTCTCTCTCTCTCTCTCTCTCTCTCTCTCTCTCTTCTCTCTCTCTCTCTCTCTCTCTCTCTCTCTCTCTCTCTCTCTCTCTCTCTCTCTCTCTCTCTCTCTCTCTCTCTCTCTCTCTCTCTCTCTCTCTTCAGTTGAAACACATAAAAGAAGGGAAGCTCGTTTGTGCTTCCGTGGCTCCACAGCCTCCACCAATCTCAGTCTGGCCTGTGGTTGTGTGGTTGTGTGGTTGGGCATGTTGGAGTTCCGGGACACCAGCTGCCGGGAGCCCCTTTAAACAGGAAGGCAACGTGCTGGTTGCTGAGCTGTTGGCTTAGTGGCCCGCTGAAAGCGTTGCCCTTTCTGCTCCTTGCCGGTAGACGGGGACTAGGCCCGAGACCACGGACCTGGGCTGAAAAGCGAGAAGGAAAAAAACACCGCGATGGGTCTGCGAAAGTTTTGCGAAAGTCATTTTTTTTCGCGAAGACGGTTCTTTCGGGATGAAAGAATTTAGATCATCAAAAGGTTTTTTCATGGCGTCTTGACTGTTCCTCACATCACATTTTTCATCTGCAGGTGGATGATCTGCGTGCGAAGCAAGTAGCATCAACCACGACGTATTTGCAGGACGGGCATCCGCATCCTGGTATTCATGCAACGCGTGCGGGCAGAAGCGCGAGGGGGAATGTTTCGAGCATGCGGCTGTAGTGAGGAGTTGGGCAGTTTGCGGAGCCATTTACGTCATGTTGTTGCAGCTGAAGCGCACCTCCGCCGCGGCCCCAGCCAGCGCACTGAACATGACATCGCGCATTGCATTGCTTCTCTGGAACGCCGTGGCGAAGGAAACGCTTTCGAAACGCCAACGCCTCCGCAATCCAAGCGAGGCAGGTGACAGACACACTGTTCTATTGGAAAAAGTTGGTAAGCGTTCCTTGCCATTGTCAATGCCGTCGAGGTTCGAAAGCAGACATTCCGGCAGGTGCGGCACTGCGAAGGCCGGCTGGCCAACTGTTTTGCTAGCTTTCTGCTAGCTTGTGCTCCAGAGGCACTCCGTCCTGAAGAAAGCCGGCAAAGCTGGCAGTCGACCAAGTTTTGGTGTGACAAGGTGCGAACAGAACACCCGTTCACATGAATGTCCGTGCTAGGTCCGGATCGCAGGCGCTGTTTGATTTGTGTTTCAGAATGTGTGTGCCTGGGCGGCTGCGACTGCATGTATGCGTCGCATGTGACACGCCAGTGATCGTCTCTTGTCAGGGCATCCGTCAGCGACACGAAGGAAGAGATCGCGGTACCGCAGGCGCATGTGATGCAAAGTGAAGCGGTGAGAACTAGTTGCATGTATCTTGGTTTTCTTCGCTTTTAAGTGTGGACATGTGTGCCATTTTGGGCCAGATGGGGCGCCAAATTTCGATGGGGCGCCAAGTTTCGATTGGGCGCCAAACTTCCAACGCTGACGATGAGCCGCCGAGAACGTCACTCTCGGGCTCAGTCTCCGGATCGTTGCAGCCTCATGTTTTTTTTCTGCCACTTGTCAACGAATCCATGGTGCAGTTGGACATCCGTAAGGCCACTTCAACGCAAGGCGCGCGGATGCTGCTGGATTTGCTGGGCCTGGGCTTTGGGGAGACTCATTAACACACATTAACATACATTTACATTAACATACATTAACATACATTAAAATACATTAACAGACAGTAACATACAGTAACATACAGTAACATACAGTAACATACAGCAACATACAGTAACATACAGTAACATACAGTAACATACAGTAACATACAGTAACATACAGTAACATACAGTAACATACAGTAACATACAGTAACATACAGTAACATACAGTAACATACAGTAACATACAGTAACATACAGCAACATACAGTAACGTAAAGTAACCTACAGGAACATACAGTAACACACAATAACATACAGGAACATACAGTAACATACTAAAGTAAGCATATGGCCAGGGACAATGTGACAGACTGGGTAGTATTCGGTCCCCATCCCATGCCGCAGGGACGCAAGTCTTTGACAATGACTGGTGCGGCTACAGCTGCCATGGCTGTCGCCCGGTCGCAGGCGCCACGGATGCAAAATGGTGTTATTGCGGCTCAGACTTACGCCTTTTTTTCACTTCTTTGTAAAACTTAGGGTGGTTTTCTTTTTTCATCCCACCAGTATACCACGGAGGAACAAGGCAGTCGGGCGATCACATGTGCCAATGTTGCGTTTCGATACGCGGCGTTCCATGATGGACTTGCCTGATCGCTCGTTGCCATATACTAGTATCAGATTTGCCTCAGTCAGTTCAGTTGGTGAAGTGATGACGGATCCAACCCCAGCGTTCGTACACAAAGAAATAGATGTACCGTTCCAAAGCCCCATCATTCACAATTGCCTCGGCATGCTTGCTTACGGGATACCTGGCCTGGGATAGCATTATGTTCGGGTTGCAATGCTGAGGCGTTTGGCACAAAGCCACCGAACGAGGAAGTAGCTGATGCCACTCCCTGAGTGCGCAGCTGGGGACAGGTCTGCATAGGGCATAGTCGGATCATTTCACAACTATTTCCTTCATGTTGTTTGTGCCAGTAACCATGCTTGTGCGACGAAGGTCGGCATAGAGTTTGCCGAGGTCAGGCTGACATGTCTTATCGTTTGCTTGATTGGATCGCAAAGCGAATGGCTGCAAGGTCCACCACTACATGTGGGACGCTGCAGAATTCTTGGATCAGGCGCAGATGCGTACGGGGCGCAGTCAAGTGTGCCACAAGAGCTACAAGTATAGCTAACATTTGGACTTCCGACTCCTAATGACCTCATGGCAATGCAGTTCTACCGCCGACCCTGGGAAGGCAACGCAAGTCTTGGTTTGCAAAGTGCCACTTGGATGCATGGGCACAAAAGGGGATGGCAATTTGCGTGAGAGGGACTGGTTCCGGCTGTGGTGGCAGTGAAGTGGTGGGGCAGCATGGGGCATCAACCATTGGTGTGGCTTGTTGCATATGGCTTAATCACGACAAGTACACCAAGGATCACAGAGAAGCTGCAATGCTTCAAAACGCAGAAAGAGGCCAACGTCATGTCCAAGCAGAAGACGTGCATTTGCAATTGCATTTTCAATTATGTTTGTAGTTGCTGGTAATTGTTTTTATTTTTGTAGTTGTTGCAGCTGTGGTCATGGTCGTGGTTGTAGTAGTAGTGGTGGTAGCACCATTTTTGCAAGTTGTTGTTGTTGTTGTTGCGGTGGTTGTCGTTCTTCTTGCTGCGGTGGTTGTTTTTCATTGTGCTTCTTCTCGCCGCTGCTGCCGCTGCTGCTGCCGCCGCTGCTGCTGGTGCTGGTGCTGGTGCTGTTGCTGTTGTGGGGGTTGTGGTGCTGCTTGCCCTGTTTCCATTCTTCTTCTTCGACCGACCCGAGCATACCGCATGTCTGTCTGCTCGTCAGGCCACCACAATAGCCGAACTGGCGCACCTGTGCAAACGCATGGAATCTTACTTGAAGGCGGCCTGCAGGGATAGTTGCCGTGGGAGGCATTTTTTTTTTTTTTTTTTTTGGGGGGGGGGGGGTCCTTTTTTGGTTAACTAATTGTATTGACTATTGTTGTCATCATTATTTTTTGTATTTATTTTCAAATTTATTTTTTTTTTTTTTTTTTGGGGGGGGGGTCCGTTCCCTTGGTTTTTGCTAGGCGAGCCTCACACCCTGAACCGGAAAGCCTAAAACCCCATTCGTGTGTTTGGGGGTTTGCCCTTTACGTTTGCTTCGGCACGGGCGTGTTGTGCGCGGCCTGTTGAGGCAAGGACTCTTGGAAGGAGGGTCGAGGCTTAGGGTTTATGCAAAAAAAGGGTTTAGGGTTTAGGGAGCGCTTGATGATCCGAGAGTAGTCTGTCTGAGCGGCACGAAAGCTAATGAACCCTGAGCCGAAACCGAACTAAATCGGCCTCTGCAGACGAGGCCCATTAAAACCCACAGCCCTCCTACATTTCCTCTTGGTGGGAAGCTGGGAAACGAGGCATCCTATACAGTCCCTCATCGGCTGCACACAGAGGAATCTACGATGTGTAAGGCGCTTTCGGGTAAAAACCGCTTTCGGGTTATAACCAAGGCACGACAGAAAACCTCAACAAATGACCAGACGTTCGCACTCAAAAATCCAAGTCTACCTGAGATGCGCGCGCCTACCATGAAGACCGTCCGTTTCCTCAGCTTCTCGGCAGGAAAACCTCTAATTTTTCCCTCTGTATTTTGAGAGGAAATCGTTCCTTTCCGTAGTAGGTTCTGGCTAGGAGAAGAAAGAATAAAGAAGAAAGAAAGAAAGGAAGGAAGGAAGAAAGAAGGGAAGGAATGAAGGAAGGCAGCAAGGAAGAAGGCAGCAAGGAAAGGAAAAGGACGAAGGGAATACAGAAAGAAAGAAGAACCACAGAAAAGAATGCAAAAATCCTAAGAACTCCGACGAAAAGTAATCTGAATCCTATGAAAATACAAAGGAAACGGATGTTTTCCTAGGAAAACCCTAGAAAATGGACCAACCAACACAAATGAAAGACCCCCCCACAAAAAGTACCCCAAAGAAGCTCCACCCGTTGCAGTGGGTTCGTGTTGAGGCTGAGAAACTTCATTCTTGTTCACTCTGTTAATCGTGGCCAAGTGTCTCCAGGGCACGGCTCTGGAAGATCACGAAAAAGAGCTCAGTGAGGCCTGGGCCGCGGGAAGCGCAGACCGCACACCAAGCAAAGCTATGTGGTCTGGGCATTCATCCAGGGGAGTGGGGAGTCACTGGAGTTGGGGTTGGAGGGATAGCACGGAACCGAAAGGGAATAGGAGAAATATCCTAAACCTTGTCGAAGTTCAAGACGAACATGGTTTACGTGGCATGGTTTATGTGAATTCGTAGTTCGTTTGCCTGCGACACCGAATCGGATTGGAGTGTCTACGGAGCCCAGATGCCATGTGGTGCAGGGCACCAAAGACACACTCCCTTACAGGGAGTACATGCCTTAACGTTCCTGACGCATGATTCGCCCAGCTATTGCGAGAGTGAAAGTAAGCCTTAACACTCAGGTGGATATGCGTCCAATACTAATACCCCAAAGTAGTACACAGTATACAGCAGCCCGCATTCCCCCAAAAAAGGTTACGTATTTCTGGCCCTTTTTTTGGAAATCGCCAGGTCAAGACCAAGCTCTTTGCCCGAGAGGAAGAGGTCAGCAGCCTCGTGGAGCGGCTGCAGGTGCCATAGGGGCGGGTTTGGGGTTCAGGGTTTAGGGCTGCTTACGTTGGGAGTTTGAATCTAAGAGTTCTAGGAATTGGTGTCGAGGTAGGGTTTACACTTCAAGATGAATTTGCAGCAGTCTCCAGTCCCAACTTAAGAGGAAATCCGGCGTCAGCAAATGCAACAAATATACAGTTGCCCAAAAATCGCGAGAAAGCTTTCAACATGCTTGCAGGATCTATGCCAATGGCATACTGCATCTTATCGTAAGTTCAGTGCATGAGTTGTAACAATTCCTTCCCCTTCGTGATTTTTCCGCGTCTCCTCTTCAAGAGTTTCCTCAATATTTCGAAAGGACGTATAGGAGAACAGCCTAGAACCAATTGAAAGTCACGTTGGTTGTTAACAAGAAATGGACCCGTTGTCTCCTTAATAAGAACGTCTTTTCGTATACAAAAAAGCCAAACTCCGCAGACTAGTGTCCCAAGCTGTCCTTGATTAGCTTATCATGGCGTGGGGTGCAGTGTGGGAACGATGCTACACGAGGTGACATGCGCAGCTGAAGCTCGCAATCGCAGTCAGAGTACAGGCAACAGGAACATTACAAATTAGAACTCAAAACCAACAGAACAGCAACCTGAACTTCCCAAAGACACCAATGTTTCCGGGCACTAGTCGTGGTCTTGGGCTTGCAGCATTGCAGGGTGTAGGACAGGGTGATTCACATCAAACACAAACTCCGCACCTGAGCCGAAGTGCTTGCTCATGTCTTTGCTTTTTCCTAGGTGCGAGGAAAGTGCACTTTCGATTAGAACATGTGTGTGTGTGTGTTTTAATTTATTTCTGCGTGTGTGCGTTCCCACCTTCAGACAAGGAATTAAGGATACTCCGCCGCAGAATTCTCTGGCGGTCATTCGCCCGGAAGAGGTGGAAAGCATAAGTCTATGTAAGTTGATTCATGTCCAAGCATGGATGTCATGCATTGGAGGGTACATGGTTTATCTGGGCCCGGAGCTCAAGGGTACGACTCTCAAAGCAGAGCTATGTAGTCGATGGCATTCCCAAAAAGAAGAGTTGCAGATGGCACTCTGGCACTCTCGGCAGCGCCAGCCCAAGGGGGGGGAAATCAATATTGACCGAACGAAGATAGCCGACATCGACAAATCCGGGCACTCTTGCTCTTCCGGGTTTGAGAGTAGTCTTCCAAGAAATGTGTTGGTTTTCTAGTGTGTGGGCTCCTTATTCCAAGAAGCAAGAAGAACCAAAGGCGACTCGGGAAGCCTGTAGTGTAAACGCAGGGGAGACTTTCAACCCCAAACCTTCCATCTTTAACCATTTCAACAGCTACTGCTTGCACAGCCTGGATTCAGATGCGGATATCTTCAGAATGCGGCTCCACAAACTCCCTTTTGCAGCAGACTTGATCCCTGAAAGCCCTGAGCTGCGCAGGGGGAGACGTCGCAGAATGAGCAGTGGTGGCCACAGAACCTCACAAAACCGTTAGGCACCATTCCCCCAGATTGCCGCAGAAGTAGCTCCAAGTAGCCCCCCCCCCCATGTGCAACATGAGGAAGGAGCGCAGCTTTCTGACAAAGCTTCAGCAACAGGCCGGAGATACTAGTAGGTTTCACTGTTCTTAGTAGGGAGGCCGTGGCCTCGGACTGAATGAGCTGGTTCCACAAAGAGCCTGAAAGTTTAGGGAACAAGAGCGGGCCATTCAGTTCGGTTTGGGGTGGCACAGTGGACACTGCACATTCCTCGCGAAGTGGGCATCAACGGCTGCATCGTCCGCGGCCTCTGACAGGAAAGGCTCCGCGACAATCTGCAGCGCGAGCTGGTTGACACTCAGGCCTGCGCTTCCTAAACTCGACTTCCGTAACAACCCTAACCCGGCCACTTTGCATGGCTGCGCTGGATCTTTTGGCTTCCTCTGTTGATCAGGCCCAGCTGGCTGCAATGACCGCGCAGAATCAGGAGCGCTTTGTCATGTCTTGCCCTGACATTTTTTTTGATTTCGAAGATAGGTTTTGAACGCAGCAACGATGATCATTCCAAGTGTGTACTCTCTGCCACGTGTTTTGAGTGTTTTGGGAACCTGCCTGGCCGGATGTTTGGCCCTCGCTGTTCCCGTGTCCGAGCTTTCCTCCGTGGATGCGAGGACCTCACAAAGGAATTGGGTGTCTACAAGGCCGCGAAAGCACAGCTGACTGGCCACAAGAGTCATACAGAGATCCGGTGCGCAAACTTCTGGAACCTTGGCCTGGCAAGCCAACTCACTCATGGGGGTGGTTGTGCTTCAGACATGGAACCTGCACGCAATGCAAGTTTCCCCGTGCAATCTTGCGTCTGAATTCCTAGTCGCTTCTTGGGCTCCGTGTCAATCACCCTTCAAAACCTAAGCGCTCCCGAAAGGGTTCGGGGGATTCTCGGGTTCCAGATCGCTGCTACTTAGGTTTCAGGTGTAGTACCGTCGTCCTGAAGTTGTGACAAACCCTACACGGCAGGACTCGGAAGCGTCGGTGAAGAAGCAGAGCGCCGCCTTCGCCAAGTCCAGGCTCTGAGTTTAGAGTCTAGGGTTTGGGGCCCTTCTTGTGGCTGGGAGTTTGGGGGAAAAATGGGCAGAAAGGAAAGTGTACCCGTCTGTTCATTGGCTTTCCAGTGCGTGGGAGTCCAGTTAGTAGCACTGGAAGCCTGTTCTTCGGAAGTTTCTGGCCAAAGCAGGAAGCAGGAATAAGCGCTTGGAGGCTAATTGCCGGTGCTTAAGGGATCAGGGTTGCAGGCGCCTTTAGATTGGTGTTGGGGTTTGTAAAAGGGATAATCGGCTTGTCAGGTTTGAGCTCCGGGTTCAGAAGAGCGCCCAAGGCTGACACATAATTCGGGGGACTGGATACATATGTATATATATATACATATGTATAATCTATATATATATATATACACATGTGTGTGTATGTAGGGCATACCTTCAAAGTCGGAAGGCATTCTGCAGTTTCCTCCGACTCGAAGCTGTGCAGTGCGTGGCAACAATCCGAGACCCAAACCTCAACAAACCGTCGGATGAGTCCCAAGCTGCGCGTTCGCGGGTTGCAAGTTCACTGCGGCTCAGCGTCCAGGGTTTGCTGTGCTGAAGTTCCTTGGCGCCTAGGGTTCCCAGGGGGTAAAAAACTCGGGGCTACTTAGCTCCGGTTTGGCTGCAGGGGCCGCATCCTGACCGGGCAGAAGCCGGGCAGCGGCAATGATGCCGACTCACCCCTTGAGGACAGCTGGCTTTTGGTTGGGGTGTCTCTGCTTGCAGACTCTCGCCACGTTTGGGTGTAGTTCTGCTTGTGTACGGAGCGCTCTCAGCGACCGTGGGTAAAATGCTACAGATGAGTGATGTGCTCAGAAGGACTTCTTCGCCCGGATGATGCCAGACTTGGTGCAGCACTTGACCAAGGATTCGCATGTTGCTGGTTGCCATCTTGGAGTCGCATCATATCAGAGCACACATATAATATCAGATCATATCACACGCTTGACTTTGGTAGCTTTCTTCTATTTGGCAATGATGCCACGTCGAGGGTCCGGTTGAAGTCGCGTCGTGTACTCAGATTGCACTCAAAGCACGAGAGGAGCTCAAGGACCAATCCTTGAAGAACCAGATCATGCCCGTCGTGCGTTCTCTTCATCAGCATCTTCCTGAGACGGCTCAGGGTTGGAGGCAAAGAACAGTCGCGTGCCGCGTTCGGCATCTTGAAGTTGAGGGGCTCCGGAATGGCATTCGAATCGGAAGGTTCCCGGTATGGCTTCACTATTGTTCAAGATGCCAAAGAGAAGATCGCGTCTTATGGCCAAAACTTCATCGACACTCCAAGTCGTTTCAAGCAGCCTGCTGGCCGTGATGATGGCGCAGTGCCCCGCAAGGCGTCGCAGCCAGTAGCACCTTGTCACGGCTCATCGCAACCATATCCAGAGACAATGCATGCTGCTGAGGACCTGGAAGGCCTGTCGCACCAAGAGCCAGCAAACGGCCCCAGCCTCGGGTTATCGGCGCGAATATCAACGGATGGGATGTAACTGAAAGTAGCAACCCCTCCCAAACCCCTTCGTGGCTTCAGGCTGAAGCCTTGGAGGAATCCGAGCGTGAGGCCGCGGAAGCTTCCAAGAAGATGGCCGAGACACTGCCCCAGTCTGTTCGTTTGAGGGCAAGGGGCCGAGGTGTTCAGAGAGAGAGAGAGAGAGGAGAAGGAGAAGAAGAAGAAGAAGAAGAAGAAGAAGAAGAAGAAAGAAGACGAAAGAAGAAGAAAGAAGAACGAAGAAGAACGAAGAAAAACGAAGAAGAAAGAATAATAAAGAATAATAATAATAATAAGAAGAAGAAGAAGAATAAGAAGAGGAAGAGAGAGAGAGGAAGGTCGCGTGTAGTGATCGTTGAGGAGCCAGAGGAGGGGTGGATCGTGCATGATAGCACTGGGAAGCCCCGCCCCGATCTCTCATAACGTTCAACCACAAACGTGTGTCGTCGTGATGCCTTCACGGATTCAAGATACCTGTTCGGGGTGGAGCGCCTCGGGAGTGAGGGGTTGTGCAGCGTGCAGCTCATGCAAGACGGCACCTTCAGCAGGTAAAGCAGCTTAGGCCTTTGTGGGTTTAAAGTTCGCTTCAGATGCCAGGCCCATGAGAACGTGCCTGCTTGCCTTCGTTCAATCCCGAAACCTCGGACCTGAAGCCCAGCATTGGTACAGAGAAAGCCTGGCTCTGAACCCCAAACTGTCAGCTAGGCGGCTGGAAAACAATAACCAATCCAGGTATCCCCAAGAGTCCAAACTATTCAGGATGGAGGCTGCCAGACAGAAGGAGAAGGACAGATGGGACCCAAATCCACTCTGGAGAGGGAATCATCGGGACCTTTCCTTCACGGTTGTTTTTTCTGCTGATTGCAGGGATTAAGGGTTTACGATGCTGAGTCACGCGGTCTCATGCAACAATATGATATATATATATATGTACATATATATAGTATTTCTAGAGTATGGGAGAAGTCATCTCGAATCGAAGTATAGTGCCGTTCCTACTATTCTACATTATGTTATGCATGTATACATACATCTGCAAAAAAACATATGCGCGTCTGTGCATAGCATATGTTCGTATTCGCCAGGAAGCTGCCGATGCAAAGGCCACGTGCCCAGGGCAATGTGTTTGGGAAGAGAAGGAAGCCAGGCGGTGGTGGGCTCTTCTGGTCTGGTCTGGTGGGAAACGAGGAGAAGAAGAGATAAGACAGAGAGGCTAGCTTGAGTGGCAGAGTCTGGGGAGCAGGGCAAGGAGGACATGGCTGCCTTCGCACCACGTGAGGGTTGCTGGTGGTAGGGATGTTGCGGCATCTACGGCTACGAGTTGTACAAAGGTTTTTGCCAGTGTACGGCATACCTTTTTTTGTATCGGCTGTTGTTTGGCAAGCAACAACAAGCTTCGGCAAAGTCAGAACGCGCCTAAAGTAGAAAGTCCACTAACAAAACCGAATGCAGAAGCCGACACCACATGTTGACATAATTTAACGCTACGCGACCCGCCTCGGCCTGGCCCAACGCAGCTCCCGGAGAGGAGGGGAGGCGGGGCCTGCACCGTCTGCTCCCAATCTTGCCTACAAAACATACCCAAAACATACCCATGTCTAAATTGATGGGATTAAACCCGAAAGGGTGGGCTGCCTGCCTGCCAGACAAAAGGGTGCAGTTCTGTGACAAAAGTGTGCAGTTCTGTTTTACGCTGAGCGCTGAAACTCTGGCGGTGGGGGGTGGGGGGGGGGGTGTTGGGGGGTGTTGGGGGGGCTGGGGGGTGGGAGGGGGTGGAGGGGGTGGGGGCCCAACCTCCCTGGTCCCAGCAAACCGTCCGCTCAAGGCCTCGGCGATAAAGGACGTCCGCCAAATATCGGATTATCTGGTCAAAAAAGGTGTGTTGGCATGAAGATCACCTCCTCAGCAACAAATGCGTGACACCTGTAATCAAGAGGTCTCGGTCTTCAATGAATTCTTGATGGTGAATGAACTCTCACTCTTCGAGTTGTTGCTCACGAGTTAAGAGATGCTATGGAGCTGTATTCAAGGCAGGAGTGAGCGGGTGCCTCCTGTCCGACGGGTTCATGCCGTTTTTGCTCCCCTACCTTGGGTTGCTATACGATTACCCGACAAACCAAGAGAACGCCCAGCGCGCGCGCGTGCGCGCTGGGGCTAGGGTTTTTTTCTCGGTCCCTCACACCCTGCGTAAAGGAGGGCTTTGAGGACAAAGGGCAGGCTCGGGTAATGGAAGACGAAGGCAGAGGGAAAAAAATTAAGATTGAGAATGTTGGGTGCCCTGGCATGCGATTTCATGGGATAGCCTTTTCCCTGCTCAACGACAACGCAGGGTTTCACGGGGCAGACACACGTCTTGCATTTCAACCACCACAGCCACCACCACCAGCAGGAACGAGGAGAGCAAGAACAACAAAAGTAGAGGGGGTATACGTTGAGTCAAGACAGGCTTGTTCATGGCGTCGTGTACAGATGCCGAAGGAACTTGAAGTATAGCCACCGCTCACCGCGCCCTTCTGCTGAGGTCCAATCGATGAAGGACCGAGCCGAGCGAGCCGAGAAAAACGTCGCCCGCCTCCCGGCAGAGTTGCCATCGGCAGTTTTAGCTTAGAGGCTCATGAGGGCTTGAAGAGAGGCCGCCGGCGTCGCGCAAACACGACGCGCACAAACTTTACGCAAGTTGCAGACGTTAGGGGACGGTATGATATGGGATGGGTTTTGGGCCCAGGTCGAACTCCAATCGAACTTCATGGACAAGATGCAGCAGGTGCGAGGAACACGGCCACGATGCGGTGTCGTGGGGAGCACACGCGCACCTCCCAACCTGCCACCCGTCAAGGCTCCGGCTTTCGTCAGCCTCCGCGAGGACTACGAGATCTGCAGATGCTCGCCGGCTCAGTTCGTCTCTGCATCAGCTGCCACGGTCACTGCCAGCAGAACTGCGAAAAGCACTGAGTCCCGAGCCCGAAGCAGATCAAAGCGCAGGCGAGCTTGAGCAGACCATCAAGCAGCTCCGTGCGGTGCAAGAGGTGCCAACCGGAAAAATAGGGCATGGCTTCAATCTTCTAGTAGGCATGCTATGCTTGAGCCCAAAAGACGTTTGCAATCGTCTGCAGTTGGTTTTGTACAGGAGTATGAGGAGAAGTTTGCCGAGCAAGAGGCGCTGAGATCGTTGCTCTTGGCCCACATGCATTCCACGTGCAATCCCCAAGATCAGCAATTTTTTTTTTATCAATGGCTTGGAATCCAGAAGTCTATGAAGCGCAGCTCTTTGCCAGGCTGACCGGACGATTCTTCAAGAGGACATGAGCTGGTGAGGATGGTCGTAAATCCTTGCCATGGGGGTAGATGGAGAGAAGGGAGATAGTACCAAAACGTCCCAAACCCTTGCTAGGACCTCAGGAGCTTTCCGGGAGAGCCGGGCACCAACCTAGTCGGTTCAACATCAGGCTTGTGGGCTCCAGAAATGGGACCCGGATGCAGGAGCACAAGAAGCAAGTGCAGAAGCTGCAGGGAGACTTGCAGGAGGCTGGGGTCCTTGTCGTGCGCAGATTCCGAGTTGCCAAGGCCATGAAGGAGACCACAACATGGTCCGTGCCGAGTGACCGGATTGGTTGGCTAAGGTTGTCGAGAGCCAACTCCATCCCGCGCAGGCGCGTGTACATGGTACAGGAAGGATCTGGGCAAGGATTCGTGTTGGAGGCTTGCAAGTCTGGCAGGGGCGTCAGGGGGTTTGAGGCAAGCCCGACGGTGATTGTGAAAGGCCCTTTGCGCACACAGCGTGGCAAAGCCACCTTGAAGACTCTAATATTTGTCGGGTTAGGGCTTTGACAGGCTTAGAAGCTTGGCTTTGATCTTTAGTGGCCCATCGCTGCCTGGAGAACAATCGTCGAAGCGCCACAGGCGGGATGTCCACGACGGTATATTGCGTGTATCCATTGCTCGAAATCTCACATTACACGGCCAACGGACGTCACGGCTTGAGTCGGCAGAAAAATTCGCATTACTGCTCCCCCACCTCCACGAAGCCTTCGTCCTTTCCTTCGGGACCCTCCAACTTCAGGCTTGCGAAGCCCTGAACCCGAGCGCTCAACCGCAACACCGGGGATGTGCTGGGTCGCAGGTGGCACAGCTGCGCTCCGACCTCAAGCGAGCCCAGCACGAGAGCCAGGCCAGAGCCGGCAGGGAGCATCTCCCAGGAAAGAAGCTCTTTTCCCCATAAGCCCTGAGTCTGGGAGGTCGGGCGTTGGGGGGCTTTGGTCAACTTTGGTGCCTGCTGCCTTCGGTATTTCGGGCCCTTTACATGATGTTCCGGAGATGCCCCAGATGCCCGTGGGAGCAAAGCCTGGAATGCCGTTCACGAAATTGCTGTTGGAAGCTCGGCTTATCCAGGCGCTCACCAACACGAACAACATGCTGAAGGATTCCCTGGCATCGCTGCAGAAGAAGCGCGCCCCCCAAGGTTTTGTGTGCAATAGGCCTTCCCCAGGGGTTCGGGAGGAGCTCGCAGAGCTTTCACCATTTTTTGAGCAGGCTTTCCTGCGGCGCCATGTTCAGCTCTCATGCTTTAAGTTTTCCTTGTGTGGGCGCCGCTCAGAGTCACCATCTTCTTACTCACACCCAAGATTAGGGCAAATTGCAATATGAGAAGGCTCTCTTGATTTGCGATCCTGGTCACTTCACGCCGCGCCCCGCGCCGCATCCTTCCCTTTTGTTGCTGCAGACACACATTCTGGGGCTGAACATCAGCCGGTTTTGGCTGGGGCAAGGGCATCAGAAACATGGATGTGATGAGGAGGTGCTTGCAAAGGTTGAAACGGAGTTGCGTGTTGCGGGACGATGTGATGGTTTCCCTCGACTCGCCATGGCTGCCGTGCCCTGCGGACATGGCAAATGCGACATGCCGACCCAAGCAGCGGCAGCGCGTGGTGGTTGGGCCCATGGTGTTCACGTCAGACTTCGACAGCGGCAACCAGTTGGAAGAAACTCTCCCTTGCGTTCCCTTACAGAAGGGCTGAGTCTTAGTCTTAGTGTAGGGATCAGAGCTGCTGTTCAAAGCTAATCTGCACTTGACTTCAGGTGAATCGTCTTGAATCGTCTTAGGTTGATGCCAGCTTAGGCAACATGGGCCACGTGGAGCTTTTCGAAGAGCCACTGTCTTGTGCGCCGACCCCGGAGCTGGCCAAAACTCAGCTGGAGTACGTGATAGATGTCGCGCCTGACTGCGCGGGCACTGACCATGAGAACGGATGCGCGGCGAAATGCTTTCAATTTCGAGCATGAACCACAGAAGCCGGTGGTCTGTAGTGAAGCCCTGTGGGCTCAAGCCTTTGCAGGCCTGTGCATTGTCATTTTGTTCCCATAGCTGTCCCAACGATTCACACATAAGAGAGCCATTGTGAGCCATCCTGAGGAATCCCGCGCAACCCAGACCTACCCACAACATCACCAGCCCTTTGCCAACTTCCAAGAGCGGAGGATTTGATTAGCCCTGTCGTTTGAAAGCCGAAATTCCATCACTGCAGACACCCTCATGGCATCCGAGGATACAAAACGTGGTTCTATTTCGGGATCTCAGTGGCCGAGCCGTTCGGAAGTTCATCAGGAACCGCAATAGGCAATAAGTAATCTTAGCCGGGTATGAGAAGACCCAAGTCCCGAGCCAGCAAACCGTGAAAGTGAAAGACGCCCAGAATGCTGCGCAGCCCAAGCTGCCGAGCGCAAGCCCCTCCGTAGAGAAAGGCCCTGCCTAATCCCTACAGGGGGGTTTCCGAAATTAGGGGGACCTTATTGGGGTCCTTATGATAAGGGAACCCTGCTATTTGGGGGATTAGATGAGGGGTCCCCTTATTTTCGTAAATCCCTGCAAGCTGTAAAGCTAAGCCAAGGCCTGTGGAGCTGGCCGCCCAGCGCCTCCCCCCTCTACGTGAGGAGGTTTCGCTTCGGGAGGCCCGGAGTCGAGATCTGATCCTTGGAAACCTCTCAGAGCCGGCACCCTTCACCTTCTTTTTTCCTGTAAATTGTACAGATTCGAAAAAAAAATAGGGCCTTATAGGGGATCTTAGGGGGGACAAGTCCGTGGGTTACAAGCTTGGGGTTGTCAGTTCGCGGCCACGCCTCAAGCCACAGGGCTGGCGTCTCTGGGCTCCTAATCCCAGACCCTTAGACCTCCCGTCGAAACCCTTGTTTGGAGTTTTAGTGAAGAAGCGTTGGAACCTAGGCTTCCGAATGCTTCTCAGGGCGAACAGGGTTTTGGGTCCAAGGACGCCCTCCAGCGACTCAGCTGCCGGCGAAGATCCCGAAGACTTCCACGAAGGGCACGGGGACTCCGAGCTTGAGCCACGCAAGGCCCGGGAGAGGATGGCAGAAGAGTTGCCAGAAGTGCCGGAGGGCGAGATCTCTGTGTTCCTGATGCCAGCTCCTGTTTGGGAAATGTGTTGCTTGTTTCCGAAGTCGCAAGAGGTTCTTGAGCCTTAAGTGTTGCACTGTTAGCCGTGATCCAAACTGAGGAATGTGCGGAACATGAACAATCAGAGCAGCTAGGCATGCAAGTAGAAGTTTTGCTCTCAAAGCCGACACTTAAGATAGTCGGCAACACAAAGTTACCAACCACCCAAATCTGCCTCCAATCTTGAACCCGACAACCCCAAGGATAAAAGCCCTAGTTACCTAGAGCAGACCTCAGGCAAGCTCTACAACGAGGGTTACCGGCCCTGGTGCAAAGCCCCTGGCGGGACTTGGAAGCGGCTGCAGGACTCGCCCCTCTTGGCCTTCTCCTGTACCAAGCAGGCTCGGATGGCAGCCCTTCCTTTTGAAAACCACTTTTCTTTTGAGGCCCACAAATGTAGCTTTCTGGAGGGGTTGGGGAGAAAGTGCCATGTGAGCAAGAGTCAAAACTGTGGTAAAGGCTTGAGGACAATTGCTGCTGAAGGTCCGAAAATTTCCACGCCTGACCTGTAATGGCCGTAACCCAGACTCGAACCAAAGAGGCGGAGGGATTTTCCATCCGCTGGCACCATCACTCGCGCCGTGGCGCGGGGACCACCTACTATGCCTTCTGTGCACCCTACAGTTGCGTGGTTGTTTTGAGATTGAGCCTTGTTTTCAGCCCACGGTGCCCAAGCCACTAAAACAGCATGCTCAGCCTTGGAGGGATTTCAAAGGAGTGACCGAGGTTACCTCGACTGTCAGGGGCTGCTGGAGGAGTTGGAGGAGAGTTTCATGGGGACTTGGACATCCTGGACCGATCCATGCCGACCCCTGCGGAACCTCTCTCGGTCCCTGGCAGAGACCCTCGGCATTCCTTTTTCAGGTACAGCATTAGACCTTCACTTGAAGCGTTCGAGCAGGCGGGGGGCATCCTAAGCCTGAGAGCATTTGCGCCTCATGAATACAGAGCCGTCCCAGAGACTGAAGGCGGTGCTAGGCCTGGTGTGCAATGACTAAGAAGCCAAACTGACAACAGCAATTTGGGGACGGCTGACATGCAACGAATCAAATGGCACCGCATGAAATGAAATGAATGAAAGAGAGAACGAAAGGGAGAACGAACGAAATTGAACTCATCGAAGGAAATGGAATGAAAGAAACCTTTCTGAGGCAGCCGAGGGGTTTGTCAATCCTGTCTCTGCACAACTGGGGATGGCAGCTTGAGACGGTTTTCCCGGCCAAGGACCTACCAGCCGCGCGCGGGCACTGGAATTTACCTACGTCGGCAGCTTTGCCTTTTGAGTCGAACACGGGGCCAATGCTGTCGATGTTTTATGATTTTTTCAGAGATGAGATATCTTTGGGTTGCAATGGCAAGTAGGACTCGCGAATGCGGGTTTGCCCTTTTTGGTAAAGCTGAATCAGCTGCGTAGGATTCTTCATGTTCGCGACATGGCCGTGCGGCTTCGCGTCAGGTCGCATGCGAAGTGTAGTTCTTGGAGCTTGAAATCTCGTATCCTGAGCTCTCACACTCACGTTCCCTGTCGTGTAAGCCCGTCACCCCAACAATCGAGAATCCACATTTGTTCTGGGAACATGTTCGCCTGACTCGGGCATGAAGTCTGGTCCCTTGAGAGCTTCAGTTCACAAAGTGGGCACTCGTGCATGAGGCAGCTCCTCCACAAGTCACTACAGGGTCGGCGAGTAGACCTGCTCACCATCACCGCCCAACCGGAGCACCTTGGGCTGGGGCATGTTGCGAGGATTGCAGGGTCGGTTTCAGCTTGATGAAAGCTTAAAAAAGAGGCTTCCTTCCGTTCCAATGTGTATGATAGTGCTTCATACCGTATGAGGCATAGGAGCTTTCAGGTGGTGCAAGATCGGCACACTTCGCTCAGGTCTGGGGCAGAGGAACGAGACGCGCCACCCCCAGACCTGCCCTTCGCTCAACGCGAGGTTCCTTTGAAATTTCCAGAGCGGCCTATTGTCTTCGTGTCTGCCCGTGTTCATCCCGGTGAGACGCCAGGGCAGTTTGTGTTCCTTGGGGCTCTGCGGTTTCTGCTGTCGGACGACCCGCGGGCTGTCAAGCTTCGGGATCGCTTTGTGTTCAAGATGGTCCCGATCTTGAACCCTGATGGGGTGGCCTGCGGCCATTACAGAACCAACAGCCTCGGGCTCAACTTGAATCGCCACTACGACAAGCCCTCCCAGAAGGAGCACGAGGGCATATGGGCCACCAAGCGCATCCTAGGTCACTGGGCCAGACAGAATCGGCTTTTGGTCTATCTGGATCTGCATGGCCACGCCTCCAAGCGTGGATGCTTCCTTCTGGCGAACCGCCTTGTGGGCCCTGGGCAGGGATGGAATGCTGGCTTTGCCAGGCTTTGCCAGATCAACTCGCCCTACTTTGACCTGGAACTCTGCGACTTCGGCGAGGCGGATGATGCCGAGAAGGAGGGAAAGGATGGGATGTCGAAAGAGGGCTCTGGCCGTGTGGCTGTCTACCGAGACTGCAAGCTTTGCAACGCCTACACTTTGGAATGTAACTACAGCACTGGTCGCTTTACACGACCGATGGCTCCCCTAACAGGCTCGAAGTTGCTTGGCTGCCGTGGTGTATCCTACTGGTAGGGTTTCTGCCGGGTTCTGGCTGTGCTGCAAAGATGTCCACTGCATGCACATACTTTGCCAATGGCGTCGATACCATGAAAGCAAATAGACGTATGTACATAACTCAGATAAATGAATCATACTACTTCGGATTTTCTAGGAACCTATCATTAGTGCCGTAAACGAAGAACAGATCGTGAATTCCAAGCACATGTTGTAATGCATCAGACGCTGCTGTCTCAAACACTATGGGGTCCCCATGCCTGGTGACGAAATCTCGACGACGAATGTCTACCCGAGGTTGGAAGAATCGCCCAGCTGTAGCGCCACAAGCGAGGACAGCAGTGTCGTTTGTCTGTCACGCGGTCACACACATGAAGTGGCATAGCCTAGTCTGTGTTGAAGTTCTGCAACGACAGTAGACATCGTAGTCAGCCTGCGAGACTTTTTTGTTGCTTTCAGTGGAGGAGCCCGTGCCTTTCACCCAGAGCTCCTGGGGACAGGTGGGCGAGGCTGTCTGCATTAGCATCTTGGACTTGTACGGCCACAACTGCCACAGCCGAATCCCGAACACGCGGCAGGCCAGTTTGCGAGGTTTGCTCGGCCAGACCATCCGCCCTCGCACCGGAAGGACCACGAGGATCAAAGATATCCTGCCGAACGGGGTGGGCCTGAGCCTGGAAGACGTGGCAGCACGCGAGCGGCCCTGCCGCGGTGCGTGTGGTTGGCATGACTCCAAGGACTGCAGCGACATAGGCGCGCACGCGCAACTGCGTGCCAGCCGCTTGAAAGCTGAGCCGAGGCCTGGCTCCAGGTCGAAAGAGTCCAAGGCTTCGAAGCCCAGCAGGTCGCAGGCCGAGGGTGACAGGGGCGACAGGGGCGACAGGGGCGACGCGAGGCCCTCCTCCAAGTCCTCTGCGCGGGAGCCGTTGCAGGCTTTGCAGGAAGGAGGCCGCAAAAGAACCCCCAAAGGACCAGAAGCCCTTACAGCTTCACCGGCCACACCTGCACCGCCGGCCTTAGCAGAGTCCAAGCTTTCAGGGGCCCCCGGCGCTCCCAGAGTCTCCAAGGCACCGAGGTCTCGGTCACTAGATCTGCGTCGTGGCCAACTTGGGCAACTTGCACAACTTGGGCAACAGATGCAACAGAGGGTGGAGCGCCTGCCCTTGGCCTTGATTCGTTCCGAAACCTCCGACTCTGACAAGGCCGACAAGGCCAAGGAAACCAACGAGAAGGAGGGCAAGGAGGAGAGTTTGGTGAAGGCGCCCCGGAACGCCATGCAACTAGTCCGGCCACAGCGCAAGCGAACGCAGTCCTTCGAGGCTAGCCGTAGACCCAAGGCAGTTTTGGATGCCAAAGTGCATCCGCAGTTGCTTCTTGAGATTTCCAATCGAACAGGAGCAGCTGTGACTGTAGGCGCTTGCTAAAGGCAGGCGAGATAACCGTGCTGAACATGACACGGCTCCAATGTGCAGCCATGTGCAGCCTTTGCCACATCTCTGCTGATTTGGATTCTCCGGGCCAGCAAAAGCGGGATTCGGTCAGATTACCAAACTCTCCCGGGCAAATTATCATTATCCTTCCATGTTTCTGGCCCTGGTGTAGAAGCCTCGGCAAACTCCACAGTTGACAGGGTGCAGGCAACTTCTCTCGGCACATTAACTCCGTTCGGGCGACACAATCTCGTGCTGTCCTGAATCTGAGGGTATTCTGCCTCTTGCGGGTGATTGCGCCCGAAAGTTCCCGGCACGGATCGTCCCATGCCTCGTGCAGCTTACTCAGTTCGGGGGGGGGCCATGGAGGTAGGCGGGCAACTTCGCAGCCTTGATGCCAAGACGTTCTTCTTCAATCCCTAAGCCCTTACGGCAATAAGGGGACCCCTATAGTATAGATCCATGTAGGATCCCCTGCATCCCCTTAAAAAAAGGACCCCAATGAGGTACCCCCCCAAAATCGTACCCCCAAGTGAAGCCTGAAGGTTGCTGGAGGCAGAAAGAAGAGGAGCTGCTGCTCCGGGCGTCAAGGAGGAGGTTGGCCCCTGGGCGACTTTCAACGATTAGGGTTTAGGGTTGAGGGTTGAGGGTTTCATAAACTTCATGCTCTGGTGCCCAGGACCAGGGGCTTCGTACCGTCTTTGTAGGTTAGGGTCGAGAGTCGGGAGGTTCCGTGGCGTGGGGTGGGAGATATGAGAAACGAACCTGTGTTTTTGATTAAGCTTTGTTCATACTTTCGCAGATTATAACCTAGAAACTTTAGCATATTATGGCCCAGCAACCGAACCCTTGCAAAGTGCCAGGTGGCCGTTTAGAAACGTGCAAAGGCCCTCAGCACTCGAAGTCTGATCGTGCAGGGCACGCCCTGAAGAAGGCCGATGGCCCCATGGCTATGCAAAGCAGCAGCCGAAGTCTTGAAATCTCACGAGCCACTTTGAAAAAGGTGTTCGCCTGAATTGTGTTTTCGTCGGCAAAGACTCCCAAGACATCCCCTGTTCAAACTTTGACCCTGTCAGACCCGTGCAGGTAGGCCTCTTGAGGGACACTTGCAGTCGCTCTGTCTTCAGCCGGCTCTACGAGGCATGCTCTCATCAGTTTCGGGGCTTGGCAGCTTGTTTAGTAGTGACTAAGTGCAGAGTTGCATCGTGGGTCGAAGGCGCTGTTTCTTACCGGGCTAGCAGTGCATTCTAGACCTTCGACTTAAGGCTTGCTTGGGGCTTCAGTGGGGTCTTCGGTGCTTTGTCCAGGGGTGGGCACATCTTGTCGGGGTACCCAAAGAGATTGGGAAGTGCGCGTCGTTCGCTGATACTTTTATTTTATCCCGGGTTTGCCACATCTCCTGAGTAGAAATGCTGAGCATCCTGGAGTTGTGGCATTCCAGGATGCTGTGCGACGGTCAGATATCGATCAACCAGATGCCGAGCCATTCCCTGAGAGCCTGTGAACGTTTGGTAGGCCCGTTCGCGAGATCACGAAGCGAGGAGGGAGAGGGAGCGAGTGGGAGAGAGTGGAGGCCGAGGCCGTGAAATCAACTTGCTTTGCGAGCTTTGCCGGCCGACTGAGTGGACCTCTAGTGACTCTAGTAGTTGAGGCAGTCGTGCCGTGTGGAACCCGGCACTCAGGGAAATTTGCTTAGGAGCTGCACGCTGTCTTGCGTAGCTCCACGCGGCTCCCCAAGTGGTCTCCCATCACATATGCTCGTAGCGCACATTGTGGAAGCCAACAGTTTTTTCACATGTGGACTTGCTGTCCTTCATCGACCCCACCCGCCGACTCCCTCCTGTATGTGGAGGAATGGCACGAAACAAGTGAACAAGTAAGCAGACACCTAAATGAAGATGGGTCGGCGATCCAAGCTCGAGCCACAAAACTCGCCGGATGTGTTGTGCTCCTGGGTGGGCCTGGGAGACACTGAGAGATGGCTTCTGACGTTTGCCTCTAGCATCTTGTTATGGCCCTACAGTGCGCACTGCGGGCACACCAGGAAGTCGAAAGGCCATTTTAGTTCGACACAAGATCAAACGAAGCATGCTTAAGAATGCTGGGGGGCACTTCCTTTGCTTGTGGAGTGGAAGGCTTCCCAAATCAGCTGCACTTAGCTCCCTGCAGAACTCAAGTCTTGAAGCTTTGAGGCCTTCGCACGCCAGATCTTGGGTGCTGGACTCGGATCAACTCGTGCTTCCCTGTATAGTGACATAGTGTATAGACTGTGCCAGAGCTCAGAGAGCAATCTGTCGTGGGAAAGGAATCCCATGGAATCCCGTGAATTGAGGCCGGCAGCATCCTGGAGCTGCGCTCCCGGCCTCACTCGGCAAACACCGTGGTCGCAGACTCATCTTCCAAGGCTTCCAGGTTGTGCTGCGCATTCGATTGGGGGACGATCTTGCGGATTCTTGCTGCTTTGAGGCAGCAACTCCTCGGCCTCTTTCCGTGCTGCCCCCAGCTATGCAGAAGTTGGATTTTCGTGCGCGGAGCTATCGCAAATCACAGTTTCCACACGTCGCGAGATCATTGAGGCCGAGGCCCCGCTGACCCCCCGACGTTCTGTGTCTGAGCCGCCGGTGCGGATAGTTTCCCCGACTGCTTTGCGCGATATGCTGAAGATGAACGCGTTGGACCTGAAGCAACACGGCTGCATCTGCATATGGCAACAGCTTCTTGGTCGATGGTGTACGGGAGCCCTTTAGCAATTTTAGAAGTTAGCTCGACCAGCTCGACTGATATCCCGATGTTCGTCGGTGATGCACCGTTACAGCAGCCCCGATGACTCCCAAGGCACACGCTCAAAGAGTTGCCATGCTGCAAGCAGATGTTCGGTTAAGGACTTGAGTCACTTGAAGATGAAGAATGGTGACGCTGGCTCTGTTCAAAGCCCAATTAAAGTAAGCATCATAGTTTCGTGCTTCTGGATCTGCTCGATTGGTCTGGCAGCATCCGTAGGGCATTCTTTCGGCAAGTCCTAAGCCCCAAACTCTACACCCTCAAATGGACTCAAAGACCACCCCTTCCAAGCAGGTCGCTTTTCCAACATCCAATTCGGCTGCCGCTCTCGTCGGGCATGCCAGCCACTCCACGGAACCTTCCAGGCAGTGGTAGCACCGGGGGGGGATAACTGCTCATCACTCACATGGATTCGCCCCTCACTATGGCCAGTAGTCAGTAGCGCACCTTGGTACCCCTACTACCCATCTTCGTGCCCGCGGTGCGATCTGACCAGCGATGAATGCGAGTGGCAAAGCAAAACCCAAACCCAAAACGTCGTTGTTCCAAGGCTTGCACGGATCTCAAAAGAGACCCCGAGTTTGGGACAACCCAGGACTCGCACTGGATACTTCTCTCGCCGCACGTGCAGCCAAGCCAGGCAAGTTCGGGGAGTCTACACGCTCGGCTTCGCCTTCTCAGTGTGCCAGAAGCTTACGTGGCTCTCGAGGTTTTTTGGATGTTTTGAGTATGTATGCTAGGGGATACCGCTCCTAGCATAAAGTGGTTCAGGGAAGCCTCGTTTTCGCAGCGCGAAGCTCCGAAAGCTCGCGTCTTTGGAGCTCCCGGGAGCTTCAGCGAAGTGCGAAGCTCGAGTCTTCGGATCAGGCTGCCCCTTGTGAAGCTTGACGCGCGTACCCTAAATCTTCATTCCGCGTGGAAAGCCAGATCCCCAACAAAAGCTCGGCCGGCTGGCAAAAACAATCCGACAGGTCAATGGGGTCACCCTGACATAAACAAATGCAAGCCCTGTGCCTGACACTATACCGAAAGTTGCAAGGACTTGACGCAGCCCAGGTCACACCGACCGTGACCAATGTTGACTTCCGGGAACTCTCCATGGCAGCGCAATCTGCCGTCGGGCAGAAGTCGCTTTGCCTAAACCCAACGGATCTTGGTACAGAAAGGTATAGGTCTCCGGACATTTTGAGCGAACCCTCGCCATGCCTTATGTGAAGCTTAAGGCGGTGCTGCAGCAGAAGCAGGGTGTTTTTAGGGCGGGGCCCATGCCACATGTGCCTGGAACATCACGCAGCATGGGAGCGTCTTCTCTCTCTCTCTCTCTCTCTCTCTCTCTCTCTCTCTCTCTCTCTTAGATGCTCTCACAGATCTTAAGAGCCTATACTCGAAGACTCTGCAATTCTAGGCTTGATTTGCCAGTCCGACAATACCGAGATGCCTTCGATGCTACGACCCAGGAGTCCGCCCCGGAGGCGCCGCAGCTCCCCGCTGCCGTCGCCCTCCGTTTCGGGCCGAACTCTGAGGCCGAATGTGCCCGAGTCACGAAGTCCTCGACGTACTGGAAGTGTAAAGCTAGCCATGGATTTCGGTGACACCTGCGGTTGGGGCCCCTGAAAAAGCGCAGCTCATGCTCCTGAAGACATGTTGCGGACTTGAAAACAAACCTAGATCTGTGGCTTGCGTTGGTGTGTGGTGGGAGTTTGATTCACAGTATGATGACTTGGGGACCTGCGTAGTGAGGACGTAGTGTGGACCTTTTGAAGCTTGATCCCGTTTGGTTATGAGTGGCAGATCGGATAGTTGCTGTACCTGCGGCGAGGGCATCGATCTCCTCCGTAGCAGACTATGTGCACCTGCAAACCCGGCCATGAAGGTCCCCGAACTCGGAGGATGCTACGGGGCATCGCCAGGCCAGCTAAATATAAGTATGTATGCAAGCATATCATACATATATATATATATATATCTAGAGTATGAAATACAAGTAAGTATCCTACAATATTCAGTATTATATTCAGAAAATAGAAATCTAGAATGTATATAACAACGGGATGCTCAGATCCAGTGAGCCGTCTTTGTATAGTGTATATAACAACATACACACTATGTGATATTAATATACAATAACATATCATATCATATATAACTGTACATGTATATAGTTAAAAAAAAACAATGTTGTAGTGTATTATAATGCATCATCTGCGGAGCCCTCAATGGTCAAGACCTTAGTTTGAGGGCTGTTCGAAATTCCAGTTCCCCCCTCATATACCACCCTAAACCGCGATGTGGTTCGTCCAGCTATGCGGGTGCCAAAAACACCACGGTGTGGATTCGCCCCAGATGTCCGGGAGGGCAAAAAAGCGGCTTTTGCAGCAGGATCCCTTACTAAACGGGTCCCTTAGAGAGGACCCAATCTATGACAAGGTGCCGGTGCCTCGAAGTGGCCGAGCGTTCAAAACATCTTCTTGGGTGACAATGGGCACGTTGTGTGCGCGAAGCCAGGAAAAGCACACATGTCTCTTGCACAGCAATTGCAGGTGTCGAAAGCACCCCAGGCTGCGGCGAGATCTGCGCGAATATGCAATTTACGCTCGAAGCCTGATGGGATTTTGTCGTTTGTTTCTTACGGGGGGTCGTTTTTTGGAAGTTTCACACATTTATTGTCCGAAATCGTGCCCTCGCCGCAGCGCGGACACGTTTTGCGAAAGAACCACTAGAATTTTTGAAATCGTGTGTTTTTAGCACGGCTTGGGGTCGTTCAGATTCGTTGGCCAGGTTTTGCTTGAAATCGTACTGTCGCCACAGGCGGGGCACGTCTGTCGCTTGCCACTTCTAAACCCTAAACCCTGAAACGTTCGCCGCCTCACTTGAGGCCATAGAGTCCAGCATCAGGATTTAGGGTTTGGGGTTTAGGGTTTAGGGTTGGGAGTCCAGTTGCAAAAGGGTTTTTCGTGGAGCACAAACACCAGGTCAGGTCTCTGAATCGCGATCCTTTTCCTCTCGTGAGCCGTTGTTGGCTAGGTTCAACGTTTGAAAGAGATTTCGTGACGATGACCAGAGATGGCTGGGAAGGCCCAACTTTTGATCATAGTGGAGGTGGGTTTTTCAGCCGTCAAAACTAGTGTTTGTCCATTGGAGAGGTACGTCGTGGTTGGGGTTTATGAGTCTGTGTCTTGTTTGATCTTGTTTGCATTTGTTTGTTCATGCCTCTGTTGGACCAATACGCAATCTTCCCGCACGGTATTCTCGACTTGTCTTTTGCTTGGGGTGCGTGCGGTGTGAGTGGCAGAAAAGAAACCTAAACCGTTTACTCTACTTTGTTGTCGGGTTTTATGGTTAAAGGCCTGTTTTTCAGACTGCGCTTGCGGTGATGTCGTACAAGGAGGCACAAAAAGCTGTAAATACCCGGGGTTGGGCATGTTCGCAGAAGGCATGAGAGCTTGTGACTGCGCGTCTTGTTCGAGAAACATCAAACGTCCTTGTCCCGTATATTGCAAATAAACAACAAAACGCCGTAAATTCCAGTTGCTTGGGCATGTTCGCAAAAAGGCGTGAACGCTTGTGACACGCTGTCGTTCCAGAAGCCCCAAACATCCTTGTGCAGTTTGTATGAAGACGTAGAAACTTTGCAAATACCACTTTTTGTCGGCATGGCCGCCGTATGAAAAGACGTCATTGTCCCCCCCTGCTTTTGCCGCCCCAATATAAACCCCAAAAAAATCTTTAATGTTGTCAAACCTTAAGAGTAATGAAAGGCATTGTTTCTATTACATCAGCACGCAGTCTGCAAAGTGCAACAGGCTACCCGGTGCACCTGCACCCCGCACCCGGTCTGCACCCTGCATCCAGCACGCCTGCACTCTTCGCCCGGCGCGCCTGCGCCCTGCGCCCGGTGCAGCTGCACCCTGCTTGGGGTGCACCTGCGCCCGCCCGGTGCACCTGCGCCCGCCCGGTGCACCTGCGCCCGCTTAGCGGAAGATTTAGCATTAGTTGGCCCAAATGTACTGCTAAATGTTCCGCTAAGCAGATGCAGGGGTGCATGGTGCAGGGTGCAGGTGCACAGGGACCCTACACACCCCCCACTGCACCTTATAGGCGCGCCCGCTGCGTCTCATGGACGTCCCTGCTGCACCCTGTTGGTGAACCCGACAGACGCACCCACTTGCACCCTAAGGGTGCACCTGCTTGCACCTCTTAACCTGCACCCCTGCGTCGCCCCTAGGTTCCCTTGCCACGACAAGCCAATAGAACATTACTCTTCGAGCTTGATAACTTTAATGCACGGCCTTGCCTAGAACAACCCTTCAAGGTTCGCAGAGAGGGCAGGCTTCTACCGTGCTACAGAGAGAGAGATGTCGAACCCCAACGCGCTCCAACCGCATCGTTCACCACTCCGCTACCTCAAAACCGACAGCTGCTTTCGCCTAATTACTTGCAAAGCTCCTAGACCCTGAGCCTCCTCAGCCCTGCACCGGAAAGTCGAAACTCGCCAGGTGCAAAGCGTCACCCCGACGAATTTCGGCATGACCTCACCGCGTATGGAAAGGTTGAAAGCGATCTCCAGGCACTCGGGCAGGGCCTCTGGAATCAATGCATCAACTTGTCCGTGTGGCCAAGAGGGTTGTGATGCAGCGATGTTTCGCAGGTATTCAGGACATTGTGTGTGGAATTCTAGTGTCCTAGAAGGTGAACGAAGGAATTCGAACGACTCCAGAGGCCGCCAACGCCGGAGAAGACTCCCAGAAGGCGTCTTATCGACGGAGGCGTGGCGCAGCAAAGAGCGTTCCAAAACAAACAATGAGCATGCATCCTTGGGCCTTGGTGTTTCGGGGGCATAAAGCACCATTGTAAGGTCTTTTAGTATTATTATAGCGGCCCTATTTAGTACTTATTATGTGGGCCGCCCAAAAGACCACATATTTAGTATCTTCTCTAGTTTCGTTCACTTAAAGGGGCGAATTCACGCGCTTACTCATTCTCTTCGTGCGCTTGTAATATAGCCCCTTTAATGTTCTCTTCACGGGTGATGCATTAGACCCAGAGTTTCTAGTACATTTAGTTCTATCCAGAGGGCACCCAGAACCGTGAAACATCCTGAAACCATTGTTGGGACACAGCGGGAACCAGTTCGAAAGTGCACCGGCTACGTTGCGTATATTCTCTGTTTTCTCAGAAGCTGGCTGTCTGTTTGTGTGAGAGCGTGGTTTGATGCAAGGCGAGGCGTCCGCGTCCCAAGACTTTGCTTGGTCAGGCCCGGAGACTTTGCAGCCGCTGACTGAAACATCGCAAGCAGAGACCGAGCCGACTGTCCAGCCGACGGAGCCGGCTGGCAAAGCCCCGCCAGGGCCGGAGCTCGGGGTTTATGGAGTTTGGTACCAGGATGTAGCAGGTTTCAAGGATTTCAAGGCTTAGCACTCGAAGTTGAGACCCTAGACACAAGAATTTAGAAGAAGCTGGCCAGCCCTCGGGGCATCAAACCTTGTGTTATCTTGTGATGCCCAGGTCGAAGCCATGGAGCCCCCGGATAGCCGCAAAGACCAGGCGGGCAGAATTGTTCTAGATCATGGTCGGTCTTGGGGGTTCCTGTCCCAACAAGAACTATTGAGTTAAGGTAGCTACAAACATACTACAATGTAGAGAACTGGACATGTGGTGCGGTGCAGGCTTGCACCTTGCTATGTTTTGCAGGCAGGCGAATGAAAGCCCCGCTGGAAAGATGTCACCGCTCTGGACTTAGTTTGTCCTACAACCGTGTCGTTGGCAGCAGAAGCACCTTGCCTTGGAAGCTTCCCGTTTTGAGGCTGCCGCCGGCTGTGGATCGGTCCTCTGGGCCCAGCCCAGAGACGAACCCGAGGCCCTTGCCCCGCCAGGCAGCCACCTTACTGCCAACCGTGCGGCCCAAATCGGCGTCCCTTGGCAGCTGATGATGGTAGTTGAGGGCACAGGCGACATTTTGACATGGTGTCTGTAGTTCTTGGCTCATATCAAGACGCTTGACACTTCACCCCTGTTTTGACCCCGGTCTCGCTGTGTCAAGGAAACCGGTTCAGAAGACAGTGGCCTTCAGCTGCTCCACCCCGCGGCCCATGACCTGTGGCTTGTGAGAGGTGGCTAATTTTTTGCACGCTTTTGTGGGGGAGCTCTGAAGTGACTGACTGTGTTTCGTTGGCGGAGCCCATGACACTGATGCCTGACATGTCGGCCCAAGCCTATCTCTCAGTCGCTCTGGCGCACGCGAGAAGTTTCGCCATGGCTGAGCCATGGAGAGGCCTTCTCCACCAGCTCACTATGGAGCTGGAGTGCCAGTCCGCCAAACTGCGGGACCTGGAGCTCCAGAACAGGCGCCTGCTGGAGCCTGGGCTGACTGTTTTGGACTGTTTTTGACTGTTTGACTGTTTCTTTCTCTTTTTTTGCTTATCACAACTCGGAAAAAGGGAGTGCGGCGCCTCAACAAAGAATCTGCATGTTCTTATCACAAGTTGGCTGCTGACAACTTGACACTGCGGCTGAGGAAGCAAACGTTCCGATCGAGATGGCTGCCATGCCTCCTGTCATGCGCGAACCCCCTCCCCCTCCAGGGGCCGGAGATGCCCGAAGGTCCAGAAGAAGTCAGCAGGAGGACGATGACGAAGAAGCAGAAGAAGAGCCAGTTACAGGCCTGCAGACAGTAGCTCGGCATGTACAATAATGCGGCTTGAGCTTTCTCTTCTTTGCAGGGACAGATCCAGGAGGTGTCTGTTGGAGTTGCTTGGAGCTGAGGACGTCATACTTCCGCATCCGCATCGGGACAGCAAGATCTCTCAAATCTCCGAGATTTTTCAGCCGCGGAGAAACTCGCGGGTATCAAAACTTATCGAATCGCAGCAGGTCAAATTCATGATCCTGCGCGCACAAAGAACCAGAGAATTTGGGGTGCCTCGCTCGCCATTCAGAGGCCCTGTGAGGTGGTCTCATTCCTTTTGCCCCTTAAGTTTTTGCTGACCACCCGATGCGAACAAGTTCCGCAGTCACTAGTTACAGCCGGCGGGCTCTCCTCGCAGTCTGTAGATGCGAAGGTGCAGAAGCGGTGGTTCGTCATCAATCCAGATACCAACCGCTTCGCCACGGTTTGGCAAATCATTACCAACTTCGCGCTGGCTTTTGTGGCCCTCATCACGCCACTGCAGGCCAGCCCCCCAGCATTCCTACTCTAGAGGGCGCAACTCAAAGGAATGCTGGCACTGTAAGCCTACTGGTCAAGCAGGTTGGTTTGCTGGAGATCCAATGGGACGCGCTCTTCGTTTTCACTATGCTGGTCGACTTAGTGTTCGTGATCGACATGGTCCTACAATTCGTCACCATGTATCCACGTACGACAGCGCGCGGGTTGGAGTGGGAACTGAACCCCCGGAAGATTGCGATGAACTATTTGAGGACTGCGTTTTGCCAGGCACGCTGTGATAAGATTGTTCGGATCCACGCAAGGCCAGGGCCTAAGGAGACCAAGGTTGAATAAACACTCTCAACAGCAAGCCATAAATTCCATGTCCGAACTCCTCAATCCCATGCTTCACGCCAGGCTTCACAAGAAAGGACCTAGGAACTAAATGCCCTGAGTTGATGTTGGTCATCCTCAGCCCAAAAGTGACATCTGCTCGGGTCCCCGTCAGCTGGTCCAACAGCGTGGGTGCGGGTGGTTTGATATGTCAAAAATGACCTGAACGGAGTGCGTCAAGGGCTGGACCAGAAAAGCTTTTCCAGGGCCACGGTGGTCTGATTTTTGGGTGTTGCGCGGGTCAGGGTAGTCTCATTTCTTAACTTTCTTATCGAAGCGCTGCGTGGCTCGATGAAGGCCCAGGACCAGCCAAAGAACGGGAAGTGCAAATAAGAAAGCCAGATCTGTTTCCTGAGAGGTGCTGGGAGGCTCCTGTGCTTTTTTTGGGGACAGACAGGCCTTTGCAGGCTTCAGCTAAGAAGGCATTGAACTGGCCCCGGAGGACCTGGTTCTTTTTGGACTTCGTGACGCTGATCCCGTTCGACATGATTGGTTTAACCTCAGGCACCGACAGCCTGAAGGACCTGTTTTGGCTCCAGAACCTCATTTCGGGCTCAGGCTTGAGTGAATAAGGCTGAGAAGGTTAGGGTTTGCGGTGCCTAAGCCTTGCCTGTGAACCAACAGGCCCTGACTCACCCAACATCCTCATGCCGAAAGGGCAGCGCCATGAAGCCCAAAGCCCCAAAGCCCTGAACCCCGACCGTAAGGCTTTGCTCCTTGCCGGAAAGTGTCGAATCCCGCTCTCTCTCTGCTTCCGCGCTCGCCATGGCACTCACAGCCGCCGCCGTGCTTTCCGAGGAAGAGGTCCTGGTGGAGAGGCCCCACTCGCGCAACAAGCGCCACTGGTACCTCGCAGGTGCGGCAGTGGCGGCCCTGGCCGTGGTGGGGTTCGTGGCCAAGCTGTCTCACTCTCCTCTCTCCAAGTCAAAGACCCTGGACGAGATTGAGAACTGGGAGGAGCTTCCAGGAATGGACAAGGTCATTCTCAAGGCGCAATCCTTGAAACCGAAGCACCCCCTGCGCAACCTCAATGACCTGTTCTACGATTCGGTGCCGGAGGAACTTCCATGGATTCGCACGGAGTGCGTGATTGACACAGTGCAGGCAGCCGCCTACTTGGCCCAAGCGGTCGTTTTCCTGTACAAGGCCATCGACTACAATGGCCTGGAGTGCCCGGACAACTCGCCTGTGGGCTGCGCTGCCAGCGTAGCCGGCTTCATCACCTCCATCAGCTGGATTGCCTCGTATCTGTCCTTCGCTGCAAACGCCTGCGGCCAGGCCGTCAACAATGGCGCCCTCTGCGCAGGTGACTTCACGGCCTTGATGGCCAACTTCGGTGAGATCGCCACGGTGGGTGCCGCCGTGAAGGCCGACTGCGACTTTGGCAAGAACGCCATCTCCATCCTCACCAACCCGGACCCTGTCAGCCCGCCGTGGGCGCAGTTCGTCCCCGGAGGCGCCGGCCCAGAAGCGGAGAAGATCCTGGCGATCAAGGGGCACCAGGAGGCGAACCGCAATCGAGGCTTCGACATCACGCAGTGTGTGGTGGATGTGACCAACTCCGCCTCCTACATTGTGCGAGTCATCCTCCAGATCCGTTCCGCTGCCAGCTCTTGCCCGGACCCGAAGGCCTGCGCTGTCGGCATCATGAACATCATCTCCTCCTTCGCCTGGATCTCCCAGTTCACGGCGCTGGCGGTGTCCGACTGTCAGGTGGGCGCTGATCAGAAGGCCTTGTGCACTGCCGACATCTCCGACATGGTGGCCGCGGTAACCAACGGACCCGCAGCCGGCATCGCATCCACCTCGGACTGCGCGGACCTCTAAAAGCCAAGACAGGCAAGGGCCATTGCTGGCAATGGCGACCTGAGCCGATGACAGCATGTATGGGCTGTTACATTTTTGTCAACCCATAATCGAATTTCGGGGCACGAGTCCTGGCTAATGGCAAGGGTGTTCGGAGCGTAAGCACACGATGTTAGTCTCCTAAGCCCCCTGAACGTTTAGGGTCCTTTCGGAGGGAAGCTGCGGGAGCCTCAGGGAGTAATTAGTCGGGAGGATTGGAGATGCCCTGCCGCTTGGCCACTTGCAGCCCCTGGCTGGAGACCATCATTCCTTGCGGCGTGCTTTCGCGAACGGCGAAGGCATGCGGCGTGCGCAGTACAGTTCAACGTGCGTCCTGACGACTCTCAGGTCCGACATACCCGAGAACTGCCCTGTAGCCCCAAATGATCACTGCCTGATAAGAAATAATGCATTCATTTCGGGAGCTCTGCTTGAGACCGTCCTTCACATCGCCGCTTTGGATGGAGGCTCTCAGGACAACCCGTCGTGAGAGAGACCTCCGTCCTGTGCCCAGGGCACAATGCCCTGTTTCGGCGTTCACGGCATGATACAGACTGTACTGACGCTTTTAACCCGAGACGCTTGTTTTCCATTCTGTGGCACCTGTGAACTCTCGCCCGCGGGTGCGCTACTGTGAGAGTCGAAACCCCGACCTTGCCGGCTGTTTGTGAGAGTGAGTGTGTATGTCTGTGTGTACGGGGGTCCCGTTTGGCCTTCATTTACCAGAACCTGCATCCAGCCCTGGATGCGCCAAGTGCTTGGAAGGGCTTCTTGGAAGCTTAATTAACCCTGCATTGCCTGTGCATCGAAGACTTCATGTTCGTTGTTTCACATGCGTTCGCTTTAGACTTTGCTTCGCCTACAGTCATAATGGGTACTTTAACTTATACGCGGTAACACAACTGTAGGCAGGGAAAGGGTCTGGGGGCTCATCATCCCTATCCAGGGGGGCACATGCCACCGCTGGTCTCCCCTAGCATACACAGCCCTTGCTCTCCAGAATCGGCCGCTTTTTTTGCGTTCGGGAAAGGGTCAAGACAAGCCTGAAGCCCTGGAACTTGAACCCTATATCATCGTGCCATGGGAAAAACACCTGAGGAAGCACAACAGGAGCACCCCCAGAACTAAGACTGCATCCGGGAAGGATCTGAGGAGCATCAAAGTCATTCGCGTCCTCCGGCTCCTGAAGTTGATGAGGCTTCTGCGCACCTCCCGACTGAGCCTGGGCGCTAAGGCTTGAGGCTTACAAGCTGTAGCTGTTGGAGGCTGCATAAGGCTTCAAAGAGGCGATAAAGGGGCTTGCAAGGGTTCGGAAGCAAGCATGGTCGGGTCACCCGGTTTCAGGAGCACCACTTAGACATGATTGCGGTCATGAGCGTGTTGCAGCCAAGGACCCACCGCCTTGAGATACCCTTGTCCATCCCTTACCAGCAGGTGCCAGATTTGAAACGAGAGTTCGTTCGTTCGTGCGTGGATGTGTGCGTCTGTGTCTGTGTCTCTCTCTCTGTCTGTGCGCGTTTGTGTTTTTTTTTTTTTTTTGGGGGGGGGGGGGGGGGGGGGTTGGGATTCCAATTTTGCACAAATCTTGGCGACGTGTCGAACCCTGGCGTCCCAACGTCGAAACGCAAGAGCACGTGCAGCTGACATGCCTCACTGAGGTGGCGCTCTTCAGATTCCTTCTCATCTTGGTGTTGGCCTGCCACTGGTTGGCTTGCGTGTGGGCCATGACTCTAAAAATCGTAGAGGAGAAGGGCTTGCATTAGGCGAGCAGGAAAAAAGGCACTCTAATATTGACCCACAAAGGACCCTCATGTAGAATCCCCCCCCACCCCCCCCCCCAATATTCCAATCGGGCTTCTGGATGATCAGGGCTGCTGCGAAAAGCCTGAGAGCAGGACAGCTTCCCGCAGTGGATCAATGACATTGAGGCTGCCGACCTGACCTATGGCATCCGCACCCGGGACTCCCCTCTGCGCATCTACATCGCCGCATATTACTTTTGCTGCTACACCATGACGTCCGTTGGCTACGGGGACAATGGGCCCAAGAACGTGCTGGAACGAGTGGTCTGCACCTGGATCGTCTTGCCCTCAGTTGTCACGTGGCAATGCCAAGATGTCTAACATGGCTGCGCCCTTTTTGCCGGTGTTCATTGGTGTTCTCCCTCGCGTCCCATCAAAACGTGTGGCATGTGTCCTGTTTGGCTTGTCAAACATCTACATCAGACGTAGAAATTTGACAAGCCAAGGAGCATAGAATCAGCCCTTCTCATTCGATTCCGTCGCGTCGCGCCACATCTCTCTCTCTCTCTTTCTGTTTCATTATTCTTTCTTTCTTTCTTTCGCTCTCTGTTTCTTTCTTTCTTTCTTTCTTTCTTTTGTTAGCCCCTCTCTCTCTCGCTCTCCTTTTCTCTCTCTTTCCTCACCCTCGGTGTGGGGTTGCCCCTGGAGTCACCATCTGAGTCACCCCGCAAATGCCCTCCCCCAAGAAACCCGCAGTCCCACCGAGTATCCCTGGAGTGCCAGAGAAGTCCACTCCCATCCCCAAAACCGTCCTGAGTGTTCTTGGAATGCCCATGGCAAACGCCGAGTATCGCATTCCGCGGAGCGGAGGGTCCTCCGACAGAAGCCTGCGGCGAAGTGTCCTGAATTCCCTGCCCACAAAAATGCAGGAGGGCCCCCCATATCGGTCATAGCTGTAGGGTGGGGATGATCGAAGCAGTCTACATATATATATATATTTATAATTATATATATATATATATATCTCTCTCTCTCTCTCTCTCTCCCTCTCTCTCCCTCCCTCTCCCTCCCTCTCCCTCCCTCTCCCTCCCTCGCGCCTCGTGTTGCAAACAGAACAAGAGCGAGTTGACTGGTTCTCGCAACCAGACCACAGCACCCATCACACATGCCTACAAGGGCTGAAGGTCCTCATCTCACAAGACAGAATAGAGTGGCGAGCCAGATCTCAAAGAGGCGTAAGCTCGCGGCCAAGGTGTTGACCTCCGGACTGTCCTGGGCCTACGTTCTCGGAGAGGTCTGCGCCATCGTCAGCGAGATGACAGCGGAGGGTCAGAGGTTTCGGAAGAAGATGCACCATCTGAACGCACTGATGCAGGAGCAGGGCCTGCCACCCGAGCTGCGAAAGCGCATGCGCAGCTTCTTCCTTCAGAACAGGCATCATGCGGAGCATCAGACGCGGCAGAAGCTCTTGGAGAACTTGAGCCCCCAGCTGCATGCCGAGGTCTGCACGGCGCTGAACATGCCCTGGATAGAGAAGGTTTATTTCTTCAAGCAGTTCATGTCGATCATCGATGTGTTGGAGGCAGATGGCGCCCACACCACACCCTTCCGTGCTTGCATTGCCGACATCTCTCGATCGCTGCAGACTGCAGCCTACGCACAGAAGGAGATCTTCGATAACGTGCAGGTGCTCTACATCCTCTCCAAGGGCCTGGTCGCCTTGAACAGCAGGGTGGGGCATAATGGGGTGGTCTGGGGTGAGGACTTCGTTCTCTCGGACACCAGCCTGATCCGGCCGGTGGCTGGCTTCGCCTTAACGTGACTGGGGCGTGGCATTGAGCTTGTCGTTTTACAGGTGATGTCAGAGAGGCAAGCGCCAGATGTGCATGACCCTAACCCGAGAGTTAGTTAAATGCAGCGTTTGTGTATTTCACACAGGCGAAACAGCACCAGGAATGTGAACCACATTGGCCCTCGACAGTCCAAGCATGGCTTAGGGATCAGAAAAAAGTCGCAGCACAATCAGGAGCACAAAAGGTAGCACCAGAAATAGCACATACGGGAGAAGAAAAAGTCGCACCAGAAATAGCAGACACAGGATAGAACAAGTTGCGCCAGAAATAGCTGAAACAGGAGCAGAAAAAGACACACCTGCCAGAAAAATCAGAAACAGGAGAGAACAAGTAGCAGAAATAGCAGGACCAGGAGCAGAAAAAGTAGCAGCAGAAACAGCACAAGTTTCGATACAAAGCCTGTGATCACCCTGGCCATGTTTTTCGGCTTTTGCTGGTGCTTCTGCCTGTGCTCACTGGCAGTAGGGCGGGGGGATATCCCAGCCTGAGAGCTTCCTCCTGAAACCCATAATTTCCGAAGTAAGTTTCAGCGACGCTCTTTGAGCCTCACCCTCGCCCGCTTTTCCTTTAGGTACATCGAGGTCCTGTACCTGACCCGCGAGAACTTCATGGGGGTGATCGAACGCCGAAAGTTGACGTGCCCGCAGCTGGGCCAGGCTTGGTGGCCTATATTTCGTAGGTTCGTAAGCCGTTAGCTCTTCGGTATGTGGGTGGTTCTCCAAATCATGGGGTCCCTTTCTGGGTCCCGTTCTATAGTACGTCTATAGTACGGCGCGTATGAAAAGCACCCGCAGGACCTGTAAGGATGCCCTGCATGGGATTTTGGAAGACTGTAGGAAAGCTACTGGTTTGTCAAGCTTTGGGCTTGGGGACTCTTTGTACTACGAAGATCTCACAGGGCTCTAGGCAGTTTTCCTCGGCAAATTTGATTGCAGAGGTAGGGCCCCATGAAGGTTTCCGTTTCCGGCTACACTGACTGGGCGAGTGGCAGTTATGAGTCTACATGAGTGCATGAGCCGGCATCGCTCCCTCTGATTTGGTCTGAGATTTTTCAAGAGCCTTGCGGGGGGGCTTTGAAAGCTGCACGCTGTCACATGGAGAGGTGGTCCGGCGCTACTGCGTGCGCGTCGCTGTCACCAGGGGGATCATCGCAGAAGCGAGGCGACCAGGGGAGCCTACGGGTGACGGGATTCTTTCGTTGGGATCTGAAGAGCTGACAAGGAACGGAAGCTCAAAGCGAAAGTCAAATCCCTTCGGAGCATGGATGCCATGAACCGGCCTTTGCCTACTGCTTTCGTGAGCTTCAAAAGCCGAGGGCCTGTAGATGTGTCTAAGCATGAAAAAGGCCTGAGCGCGAGAGTCGAAGCGCCCTGCCAGGAGGCGCCTGCAACTCCAGAGGACTGGAAGCCCCGACAGCTCCAAGCGCGTGCCTTGGGCTCGAAAGATTCCGAGAACGGCAGGGAACTTCACACGGAACTTCAGGCTGCGAGTGCTTTGGAGGTTAGGCTGGCTACGGCTTCAGGGCTGCAGGACAAATTCAGGGACCCTCGGAACACAGCGTGCTGCCCCCTGAGAACAGCCACCGTGTTGGGACCCCCCACAATCCAGGCATCTCAAGGCGCAAGCCCAAAGACCCAGAGACTGCCCCTGCACAAAAGAACAGGCGCAAGGCAGCCAGCAGACGCATGGCTCCTCTCTATGTGGGTCTGTTCTGCTTCCCGGCTCCCTTGAGCTGGAGGGCTGACTTTGAAAGGCCTCAGGGCAGATGGGCAGGGGAGACGAGGGGGATCAGGACCGCAAGCATTGACGCTGATCGTGCAACTTGAAGACGTAGGAACTCGCCCGAATATTCCCAAAGCATCTCAAAGCAGTTGGCCCACCCTGTCGAGGCAGATGCACGGAGCTTTGGCCTTTTTGCCCCAAACGGGCCACTGCCAGGGCCATCTCGTGGGCGTACACGGGAGTGCACGTTGGGAGAGTCCAAAAGCAGTTCCACGTATAGGGTAGATGTGGCAGATGAAGAATCACAAAAACGCGAAGTCATGGTTGGCCTCTCCCGTTAGCTCGGCCCAAACAGAGGGATTCGAGCCCGTCGGCGCTGCCAGCCTGCCTGATCCAGTAGAATTCATGAATTTTGCACGTCGCGCAGCGCCACCTGTGTGCGTATATGGGAATTCGTGAAATAATTACGTGTGCGTGTATATGCAGATTTTGCACAGGCTCTTTCTGCCACGTGGAACAACCGATTCCTCCCTGGTGACCGATGTTCATTGAACATTTTCCTGGGCCCATGCTGCACCTTTAAGCTGCCTGCGCGGAGGCCTAAGGCTAGACGAGCCCTTCGTTCTACACATTGGGGCACTAAATCTGGCCTTCGTGCATGGTTGCGTGTGACAGGTGGTTGCCCTTCAGACAGGGATGCGACATGCTGGCCGCAGCCGTGTTTCGCAAAATCCTCCCCAAATTACCACAAGCTTTCCCAACAGTGATGCCCTGAGGAGCACTTGATCTCCATTGTAACCATATGTCGCCACTGCAGTTAAGTTGTTGCAGTCAAATCTGGTGCTGATCGTAATTGAGGAGGATGTGATGTTGCTTGTGCCGAACTCGGGTCTGTACTGCCACATACCCATCGCAACGCAATCGAGAACAGAACAGACCTGGCTGGAACCCCGCAACTTCTCGAGCGGCGCGCTGGAAAGAGGCTCAGGAGTTCACGGGAGCAATCTGCATCATCGCATGTTCTGCCGTTCCTCTGCAAAAGTTGCAGCATGAACAGGAACGTTTGGTTTAGAGAGAGGGGTCCGCTGTGTCTCGGTAGCGAGTGGCCCGACGGCCCAAGCTGCAAGTTGAGTGCTGCACGCGGGCCACGATGAGCTGGCCGCAGCATGCCACTCCACGACTGCGCCATGCCAGACAAGACCCCCAGTCATCCATGATCATCCATGTACAAGGTCCAAAACGCATTGATGCATTCGCTATCCGCGGGGCCCATGTGGCCAATGAGAAGAGGCGACAGAACGAGATAATGACAAAGGACACGCACTGCACGCAACCCCAGCAAGACGCAATGGCGGCGCGGCTGAGAGCTCAGCTCGGTCCAGGCCTTCCAGGCCTCAGCAGCTGGTACATGTCACCTCTCCAGCCGCCCCTTACGAGCGAGCAGTCGGCTTTGAATCCTAACAACAAGAATGGCCGAGAGTCTAGCCCCAAACGTTGAACCTCATCATATCTCATCCAAGCTGGCCGAAGCCTATAAGCAGATCGCACCAACCCGCACGCCCTGAGCCGACGGAGCCCAAGCCACGGCAGGCCTGCTGAGCAGACTGCCTGGGAGAGTGGCGGCTGGTCACACAAAGGCAGGGTACGTGCGTACCCAGCTCTGGAGTTCGGGCATGCCTCAATAAAGTCGTTTTGATTCAGAAATGGTGCGTTGCGTGGCTCTGATATCTGCTCATGCTCGTGAGGTGTTCGACTCTTTCGCCCAACCTGAAGAAAATGAAATCCTCAAGGCTTTTCCCCAGAAACCTGAACTCCAAAACCCCGGAAGCGACCATGCGAAACTTTGACATGTGCGAGCTGTGGGGCTCAAACCTCAAGCAATTCTGACCATCCCCAGCGAAATCAATCAAGCCATGTAGTGTAGTGATAGAAAACAGCACCCACTTCCTCGGGCGTCCCTGTTGTTCGAAAGCTCCCCTGTGTCGTCGACTGACGCCAGCCCGCTGTCTACGGCAACATCCCGGAAAGACTGCATGATGCACTATGAAACGTGAGGGTTGAACGGGTTGAATGGATTACAGCTGGTTGAGGAGGCAAGTGCCCACATTCAGGCCCTGGGCCACAAGCTTGCGACTCGAAAGTCCGGGGCATGGCGTCTTTTTGCAATAGGGCTTGGGCTTGTATAACAAAGCCGCATTCCGTTTGCGCAACGAAGCCCCTCCTCAACGTGAAGCTTTCCTATTGAAGTCGGCTGGAAATCAAGCGTGTGGCACAAGTGGGTCGGTGTTGGTCTTATAAAGCTTCAATCATCTTGCGGGTCCGAGAAACAAGCTTTTCGGTTGCCCAAACCAGAAACCCCCAAAACCTGACAGATGGTCAGAATTCGACCTGAAGCCTGAAATTGAGGCTCCGATACCCAAGTCGACGAAGCAACTTCGCCACTTGCCCACGGCTTCCTGTGTGTTGTTGTGCTGCCCTGCAACGCTGAGGTAGGTCCTGCAACCGCCTCACCCTGAAGCGAAAGCCCCAAAAAGGGGAAGACATAGCTCCTTTATACCATGCCCATCTTGGGGGCCACCTTTCCCGGTGGAAAGCCTCTGTCAGCCGCTGATAGTAATTGATAGCACCGTGTAATCTGGGCCCTGCAACCGCCTGTGCAGGTTGCCTGCTTGCCGGCCAGGCGAGAGACCTGGCTTTCAGGTTGGGTTTGGAGTTCGGAGATCGGTTAGGATTATGGGCAGGTTTGCTTGCTAGGCTGCCGGAGATGTCGACAGCCCGGGAACATACGAGACCCTTCGGACATGAAGCCTTCAGATCATGCAGCATGCGGGCAGTAATCCTGCAGCTGAGGCAGCTAGCGCCAACCGGGATCTTGCCAGCAGCCAGCGAAACAAGACGATTCCAGGCAAGCCTCACATGCACGTCTGCGCATCACGTGGAGGGGGCGAGCTGAGGGTTCATGCTTGACGTAGTACGACGTAGCCGCAGACTCGCGAACCTTACGTAAGCAAGCGTGACGTGTTTGTGAACATTTGGTGTTGGACCATTGGAGCCAGGGAACTGCCACAAGCAAGGCCATGAAAGCCAGAATCTCAGATATCCGCAGATTCAGTGTCAGCTGCCCGTCAACTCATCGTTTGCCTTGCCGCCTGGCCTTGTGGCTCAAAGCGACGCAAGGACGTTGCCTACTTGTTCTGGGAGTAATCGCCAAGAATGTCCGGTGTTCCCCTTGCCGGTGTTCCCCTTGCCGGTGTTCCCCTTGCAGTTGAAGTCAAGGAGGGTGACGCCCGCATCGTGGCACCCCGAAGCGCAGGCGTCTCGCTATGTGGCACAGTAGTCACCATGCTGAACGTCTTTGTGGGAGGTGGGAGTGTCGTTTTGCCTTATGCATTTCGGCTGTCGGGCTGGCTGTTCGTTCCATTGCTCCTTGCCGTTGGCGTGCTCATGGGCTTCACCTTGTGGATCATGGGCTTCCTGCTCTCGGCTCTTGATGGACAAGCCGAACAGATGGGCATGCCCCGGTCGCAGCGTGATTGGGGTCTCATCGGCTATGCCGCGTTCGGAAATGCCGGTCGCATGCTCTTCGCGGGCTGCATGTTCTTTGACCTGAGTGGTGGGGCACTGGTCCTGGTGAGCATCGTCATCGAGCAGCTGCCTTTCCTCCTCCCCTTTAGGCACGACGTGACTGCTGCACTCTCCTGCCTCTTGGCCTTTAGCTGCTGCCTCCTCCCAAAGAGATTCTTCTCAGCCATGGCGGTGCTGGGCATGGCTTCCCAGGTCCTGCTGATTTTGGGCCTGGTGATCACAGGAAGTGAGCTGTCCTCACTGAAAGAGGTGGCATCAGACCAGACGCTCTTGAAAGCGGCCGGCGTCCCTTCTGCCTTTGGCATTGCCCTCCTCTGCTTCCTTGCGCACAGTGAGGCGCCGCTTATCTACCAGATGATGGAAGACCGAACACAGTGGACAAAGGCAGTGATCTACAGCATGACCCTCACGGAAGCGTTCCTTTTAACCTTCGGAGTACCCAGACGGCAAAACTGTCGATTGAATGTGAGTGAATTTAAGTTATGATTTTTGACAGGTTTTCCAGAAGGTTTCAAGCTGCAAGCACAATTGAGGTACTGGGCTATGGCTTCTTCGGTGGCAGCGTTGCACAGTCGATCGCGGACAACATCGGCCGCGACCTGGACCTTCAAGTTCTTCCGGGAGGCTTGAATGTCTTTCTTGGCGCTGTCACGATCCTTGGGCTTAGCACCAAGCAGCTAGTGACCCTTCCTCTGTTGCTCGACGCAACTACCGACCTCTTTGGCGAACGCCTTCACTGGAAAGGCCAGCTCCTCATGAAAGCCATCATCCTAAGCATCTCCGGGGTCATCGTGGTGCTTCTGAAAGATGCCGTGGCCTTCATTGGCGATTTGGTTGGCATCCTGCCTGCCAATGGCGTGTGTGTCATTTTCCCCTGCGCTGCTTTCCTGCAGATGTATGGGCCTGAGATGCGCACGTGGCAGCGCATGGGTGTTCGCGCCTTAGTAGTTCTCTTCACTTTGTATAGCATTTTTGGATCTGTATCCACTATTCAGCAGCAGGTGAGTGCAATGTAAAGCAGCATGGATCCTGCCACCAATGGTTGTGCAGCTTCTTGCTTGATCGGAACGTTTGGCCCATGTACAGCACCTTTGTCGGTGGCAGGCTGTTGCTCTTTTCCGTACGTTGAAGGCAACAGCCGCCTGCGTTCTGCGTTCAGCTTGACGTCGAGAAGCAGTTGAGCAGCAGTTGCATAGAGAAATCAGAGAACATGGCTGTGTTGCTGCGGCTCTCCCGGAGTTTTAGAAACTCGAGCACTCAGACCGTCGAAGAAGAGCTCCTGGAGCTTGAGGATGAGGAGGATGAAGTGGAGGAGGACGCCAGGGATCACCCTTAAAATCGCCCCAGGGGTCATTCCAGGGACAGATGCACAAGGGCCCGCTTGCTTTTACATGCTTTTACTAGCGGACAGCCCACAAGAGCCAGAAGAGGCTATTTCGCTTTGCGATAAGCGAATCTAACCGTATGTACACCGGCAAGCTTGAAAAGCAGAGCATGTTCACATATTATGGTCAAAATGGCAGATGACAAGCCCAAACCTGAAGAGCTCTTCACTAGCTGCAGTGACGGCCTACTCGTGGGTCAGTCTAGGATGGGCTAGCTCAGTACTGAGGGTTGAACCCTCTCAACCCATCTCGACGCGAAAGTGCAAAAAAAGCAGTTCGGTCCTGTTTGAGGACGAGTCGCAGCTGCCGCCGTGGCGACAGTCCGGGCCTAAGGGAGCACATGTATGTACATGAGAGGTGGTTTTGAAACTGCATGCCGGCAAGTTGAAGGTCGAGTCGTTTCACCATCCTTGGTCTTGCACAAGATGGTTGTGCTACAGCACTCAAGTCTCCTTACTATGGTGTCACTGAGAGCGCAAGAGGTTGAAGCCCTGGCGGTGGGAGCCCAGCACTCAGTCCCATTCAGCCCACGGAATGTGTACTGGAGTGGATTATGGAGTTGGGGACCTTAGGCTTCAGAGATCCCGCAAACCATCGGGCCAGTGAACAGGTTGCGAGGGAGACAGCGCTGGAGCTGAAACCTGAAGCGGCCCAAGTCCATTCCGGCTTGTCTTGATTCAATGTCTTCAACATTGTGAAGCCGACCGAGAAGTCGTTGCCGCGTAGCAGCCGCAGGTGCTGCTGATGCTGATGCTTGTGCCTCGCCTGAAGACAAATGCCAGAGAAGTACGCGAACTCACGCTGGAGCACTGGAGAAAATGGTGGATGGTGGCGCACAGGTTGGAGACAGATGCGCACTGGTATCTCCATGAGAGGGTGGCCAACAGTACTGCGCCACAACTTGCCAACAAGGGACGGCTGCTCATCTCTTCATACCCTCTCCAGTCTTACTCCTAATGAGACAATGCTTGGCCTGCGGCGTTGGCAATCTCTCCTGGTCTGGGTTCCTCGCCTATCCAAGCTTGCTTAGCTGCACAGCTCTCACTTCTTGCGAAGATCTTTTTGGGTGACGCTGCCGAAGATGCGCATATCTGTTGAATGCGCTTGCTTCAGCCGGGCACTAACTCAAGTCAAGCATAGGCCTTCACGGGCAGCGAGCAACGCTAGATCACGCGCGCCTGCCAGCCCGCTGCAAAACAAACATTGGGCAGCACAGGCGGATAAGAATTCATTCGGCACGTCGCGGACGGCATAAATGAGGTTGTCTGAAATCCTGTCACCGCCCGCCATCACCCGAGGGCGACATGAGCCCGCACGACGCAGTTGAAAAGGCTTGCAACGATGACGCGGGCCATGGCTGCCTTAGGGCACGGAGAACTTGACGATTGAAAATCCCGGCACCCTGGGGCTCGGAATGAGTTGAGGATCTTAGGTTCAAGCAGTGGGGCTCTTGGGGGGCGCACTCCTGAGGCAGGCCACCCAAGAGGCTGGCTTCATGGGCATGTTCCAGCTTCCAACAGTGTGGGAGCCTCAGCCACTGCTGTAGCCACTCCAGAGCCATAGCATCTCCAGGATGAGTATTCTTGATGCGTGTAGCGTGCGGTGTGGCTCCGTGCTTGGATGTCATTGGGGCTGTGCTCCAGCACACCCGCCGAAGCTGTGTTGGAATCATTCTATGCAGGTCGTCATCGTTGTGTGGCTGGGTTTTTGTTCGAACGGTGTTGAGAGGCTGTGCCGCTAGCTGGGACCCTTCCTTGCCGGAGGTGACGTTGCCTGTATACTGGTAGCCCAAGAAGCAGATCACCATCCCGAAAAGCAACGAAGAAGCGGCAACTGAACGATCAAGGTTTGGGGAATTCACTTTCTTGGTTGACGGTGCACCAATGCCGAGGGAGCAGGAAGAGGCCGGCCGCAGCTACATCATCGGTGCGGTGGCCCAGGTTTCGGGTATCTGGGCCCGTGATAGGAAGGCAACCAATAACTGTAGGTGTGCTTGTCTGATTGGGGGTCGTGGTTTGGGGAATCCCTGGCTGCCGATAGGGCCTTGTTTCGAACCCTGAGAGCCTGAATGCCAAACGTTCATCGTCACCTACAGAATGCTTGCTTGCTGCTAGAGTTACTTTGTCAACGACAAGACCCAGGACGAAAGCAAGGCTTCCAGCTTCCCAGAATCGCCACACTTGGCGGCTACAGTCATGACAACAGAAGACGGACTTGTGTGGGCTTCGAGGAACTTGGGGTTCGAAGCCCCGAAGCATAAAGCAAAGCCAGCCCTGTGACTGTGGGCACTCAGACTCAGAGCTTCCGGGAAGGACATCGGAACCGGCAAATCCGAACATGAAGGGCAAGCCAAGACATCCATACTAGAAGGGCAATGCGGCATCATATCCCTTGCGCTTCCAAGGCCTATTCGCTTTCGGCGTGGTCGTGTTCTTCAGCTTTGTGCATGCGCCTCAGTGCAGGAGTCCCAACCGAATGCTCTTGATGGGGAACCTCATATGTCGTGGACACCTTGGACACCTTCGATGACCCCCAGTCCGGCAGCAATGGCTTAAGGTGGTGGGGCCCGCCAGAAGCTCGTGCGCCATTTCGTTTCACTTCGAGCCGGCGTGATGGCGATTCACAGTCGTAGGTTTCAACAGGCACGTAGGCTGGAAGCAGTGCAGCTGAGAAAAGGTTATCTGCGCTTGTCTCGCCCCACTTTGCCGTTCCATGCCTGTACCAGGACGTTTCTAGTAGCGTGGAGAGTGCTGCATCAGCTCACAGGCGAGAAATTGCTTGCATTAGAACTGCAGTTCTGAGACAGGTGGCTGGAGATGAAAGCAGGTTGTGATGCCACAGTGGAAAGCGTCCGAGTCTTCTGGCTTTCCTCTGGCCCCGTGCGAGTCTGCTTATGCAATACGAGCTTCGGAACACTTAAGGAAAAGATCGGTCCGCAGATGGCAGAGGTTAGAAAAAGAAGTACTGTGTACAAAGCGAGCATGCACAGTGACAGTGGATCTTCGAGTGGCTTTGGTCGTATCTTCTGTAGAAACTTTAGAGTACACGAGTACCCCCCATATCCAGCAAGTCGGGTTTTCTACAGATGCACTCGAAAATGCAACGCACATCTCAGAACGACACGAAATTCAGTGTGTTCTGACTTGGTGTGCCTGGGTGGGTGTCTTGTCCGAAGGCATGAAATGGTGCCAGATGCCCCATTCTTAAGTGCAGGCATGCTCAAGAGATCCTGCAGCAGCCCTGAGCGAGTCAAACAGCAGAAACAGCTGGTGGCATCCGCGCTTGCTCGGCTTGGCAAGCCTGTGACGCTTCATTGCACGTGGTCCGGCTTGCCTCATCTCACACATGCTTGGGTGCATTGCCAATGTCTCCGCGAAAGGGCCCAAGTTTTGAGACCGCGTCAAGCAACATGTTCGTAGAAGAGCAATGACGCAGATTCGCGTCCCTGACATTGTCTCTCACCGCACCGTGCAGACTAAACATTCCAGCATGACAGCCGGCGGCTGAAATCAGGACTCTCACCCCTTCAGATCAGAGAGGCAGAGTTCTTGCTGCGAATGTTTACAGCCCAGGAGCCATACTAAAACAAGAACTCGCAAGGAAACTACATAATATTGATTGCATATAGAAAAATATATGTGCATCTGTATATACCATTCAAGACAGCTTCATACACCCTCACACGGCAGAGTGTCGCTATGGCGGAGGCTGATGCCGCACCTGCCCGAGTGGCCCTGTTTGCCTTAAACTAGCTGCAGGTCCCATGAAGCGAAGCCAGGGCTTCAGGAATGGCAAAGAAAGCTGCTTCTGTTCGGGTGCTATACTGCAGGTTCTCGTGTGGCACAATGGATGTACACAGCATGGGGCACGTTGCAACAAAGGCCCATGAAGTTCTTTTGATCGAGAACAAGGTTGTTTACTCTTTCATTTCTCGTGCCAGCTATCGGAAACGGATGTGGCTAACTTTTGAAAATGGCAACGCTTGCGGAAGACCAACTCTGACAACCCTGCGCCCACCCACCCTTTTCCTCATGCCTCCGTTCTCGATTGATGTCGAGCACAAGATTCTTCAGCCTATGCTCGAGACGGGGGCCCTGCTGTGCTGGGCACATGTTTTGCGCATTCTTGGCGGTTTTTTGCGACGTCTCGACACCAACCTAGCTCCACACAGTCTCGGAGCTATAATCTTGCGTCGGTGTGTGTGTGTGTATAGATATGTACTAGTATGTTAGCACTTTTCAGTGCATGAGAATTGCAGCCTTACTGATAATTTGGAATTGCATGGTACTGTATGCTCCACCCTTGACAAAAGCCGACTCGTACTCCAAGCCAAACTTTTTCTCATCTCCGATTTCTTCGCCTTGTGCCTCTATTTGACCTGCGGTGCGGTGTCAGTCAGGGTGGCACAGAATAACAAAACACGGTCCACAACATTTTCGATGCAGTGATGCAAATGCAGAAATCGTGGAACTGTGGAGTTGTGATGCGGTGGCCTTGCAACTTGGTCAATGCTATGAGGTGTCGATGAGCTTGTGGGGCTTATGTTTATTGTAAACTGGACAGATACCTCTCACAGCAGTGGCTGCCCTTGGAGATTCAATTCAGACGGTCCTCGGAGATGTCCTGCGTCGTGGTCCTTCCTGGGACTTCTGGTGATCCTTGCTCGTTCTCGTCCTGTAAACCCCTTGTCGACTTCCAAGGCTGGTGCACAAGTAGGTTTGGAGGCCGCGTGCGCAATGTGGCAACTTGCCAAGGCCATGGCCGAGGCGTCACCCCCCGCCGCGGACCTGCAGCCTTCCGGAGCGCGGTTGCTGGAGCCGGGGGATCTCAGAGGGTGGGAGGTAGCTTGGTGGCTCATATGGGCCTGGCAGTGCAAAGCATGATGAGAGCTTCCCAAGGTCGACTCTGTACAAAGAGGATGTGCTTCTTGGTCCTATCCTTTTTTTATCTTTTTTTGGTGATTCTGAGATTCTTCTCTGCGCACAGTCACCTCACAAACCCTGCAACTTCGGCAAGTACGTCGAAGTCCTAATCATGCTGCAGAGTTCTTTTTGGAAACACGCTTGAGAACGGGAAGCCATGCAAGGTTTGTGTGGGGAGGCCCAGTCTCCCCTCCTTTCTGAGGTTCACCAATGAGCACACTTCTGTTTGGGGCTCCTTCTATGATCCGGAGACCAAGCGCTGGGGCTACGGGTGCTGCACCCTGACTTCTAGGAAGCTTCATGGGAGTATAGACTTCTAGTTAGCTTGATTGTGGATCGCTTGCGACACGGCCCCCGGGGGCCCCCGTGGAACACTACTGTAAGCTCTTCCGGCACAGGGCAGGCGGGGAGGGAATCCAATCACCTGTAGATGCGCTGAGCCTGGAGTCTGAGTTTGACAGCCGAGGTAAGGTGATGGAGAAGCAGAGCAAGCGCTCAACATTGCACTTAGTCGGGGCACGCCAGCTCACGGGTTTAGGATCGGTTGGGGTTGTTGAAGGCTGCGGCGGAGGACTCCTTTGAATCATAGCATGTACCCAGTCACAGTACAACCATAGCCAACGTCCTTCCCCGCCCCTTGAGCACCGAAGTCCTCGCAAACTGAGGTGTACTGCAGAGAAGGCCCCAGAGCCTGAGCCCAACAGCAGCGACTTGGACAACTCCCCGGAGAGTTTGGGGACACTCGGGCCGAATCAGAGGGCTCATTTTGTGTTATTGTTAATTTTTTTCCGGGAGGACGGGGGGATTTGGGTGTGTGTGTGTGTGTGTGTGTTTGGTTTGGACCGATTTTTGGTCCGGTGGTCTCGCTTTGGCGGCAATCGGGGGCGGTGGCATGGTGGTGTTGATTGCAACAACTATTTCAATGTGTACTTGTAGAATGTAGAACCGACGAGCTGTGCAGACCTGGTTGTAAAGAACCGATGATTTGGGTCCGACAGCCAGATGCATAGCAAACAGAAGGCGCTTCGACACTCTAGCGTGCACCGTACCGTGCAGAGCGGCACAATCGAAGCTACTTAGGCGGGTGGAAAGCAACACGTGGGCAGTTTTAAAGATTGGGTCCCGCAAAAGGGACCTCCTCTAAGTGGACAAGGGGCTCTTGTTACGTAGTACTCGTATTACACAGTTTCATAGTAGCTCATAGTGATATAGTAGTGTATAGTATTATATATATATATATATTTTTTGTTGTACTGTATAAGTATTCTGTTGTAGAAAATAGAAATACGATTTCAAACACAGAGAGAAGTATTCTGTAGTATTGTAAAATATTACCCAGCATTGACAATAAGCATAACAAAAGTCCAGAAAGATATAATGCCTCAATGTATGTTGTCATGGTGCGACTTCATTGGGTATTGTACTATATTTTGGCGACTTTGTGCTGCCGGTACATGATTATTGCATTAGGGTAACCTGGTCAATTTCTTGTTGTGTCTTTGTGGGGGGAATGGCTCCCGCACAGGCTTAAACATGAACTCGACCACGCGTGGTGCAGTGAGTCTTCAGACTTGAGCGCATTCCACTTGTATTCTCCGATTGTAAGATGCGACTGAGCCTTCGAGGCCCGATGAAGTGGCAGCTTGCTTGCAAGCAGCCAATGCCTAAAAGATTGAATTTTCTAGTCGACCCCCCCAAAACGATCTTCATGTCCACAGTTCTGAGCACATGAATCACCTGGTGAATAGGGCGCGAAATAGACAGGCCACGTTTG